TTTTTTAATTTCTAGGAGAGAGAGAGAGAGACAGCGTGAGCAGGGGAGGGTCAGAGAGAGAGGGAGTCACAGACTCTGAAACAGGCTCCAGGCTCTGAGCTGGCAGTCAGCACAGAGCCCGACGCGGGGCTCGAACCCACGAACCGCAAGATCATGACCTAAGTGAAAGTTGGACACTTAACCGACTAAGCCACCCAGGAGCCCCCTGGAGTATTTAGTAGCTTTTAAAAAAGAAGAGCTTTATTGAGATTTACTTGAGATGCCATGAAATTCATCCTTTAAAAGTATACAGTTCAGGGGTGCCTTGGTGGCTTAGTTGGATGAAAGTCTGACTCTTCATTTTGTCTCAGATCATGATCCTACAGTTCGTGGGATGGAGCCCTACATTGGGCTCTGCATAGGCAGTGCGGAGCCTGCTTGGGATTCTCCTAGCTCCCTGCCCCTCCCCAACTCATGCTCTCTCTCTCCCTCTCTCAAAAAAATAAACATTTAAAAAATAAAGTGTACAGTTCAGTAGTTTTTAGTATATTCACAGAGTTGTACAGTCATCACCACTGTCTGAAAGAAAGCTTTCATTACGCCAAGGAGAAACCCCATGCTCATTAGCGGTCCCTCCCAATTGCCTCCTTCCCCTAGCCTCTGGCAACCATTAATCTAGTTTCTCTTTCTGTAGATTTGCCTATTGTGGACATTTCATGTAAATGAAATCTTACAATAGTGGCCTTTCACTTGACAGTTGACAGGCTCCTTCACTGGCATAATATTTTCAAGGATTACCCATGTTATGACATATATTGTACTGCATTTTTTATTGCTGTATAATATTTTGTTTTTTGGATGATGTCACAGTTTGTTCTTTCATCCATTGATGTACATTCAGATTGTCTCGGCTATTATGGATAATGCTGTATGAACATGTGTGTATACGTTTTTGTGTGAACATATACTCTAACTTATCTTAATACCTAGGAGTAGAATTGCTATGTCTTTTGGTAACTCTGTGTTTAACATTTTTAAAAACTACCAAACTGTTGTACAAAGTTGCCACACCATTTTGCATTCCCACTAGCAATGTATGAAAGTTCCAATTCTTCACATTCTCACCATCAGTTGTTACTGTCCATTTTGTTTATTACAGCTATCCTAGTGGTTGTGAAATAGTTTCTCAATCCTGGTTCCTATACCTGGAACATCTCCCCTTTCCCTGCCCATCTTAAAAATCCATCTTTCAAATTGTACTTTCTCCATAAAGCCTTTCCTTGACCACCCCACTGGAAGTGATTCTTTTTTTCTTTAAATTCTCTAAAACATTGCTTTAAATTGCTCTAAAACATCTCTCTTGCAGTGTATTTATTTCCCTTTTGTTGTATTTCTTTGTATATCTTTATCATTACATTAAAATGGAAAGTACCATATCCATTGATGTTTAAATTCCTAGATTCTAAGTCTCTGAGGAGGTATGGAGGTATTTATGGTGAGGCAAGAAGATAATCTTGAAAAGCAGATAGTGATATGTACAAAAGAGAAATATTAGTAACTGCATGTGTGTGTGTGTGAGATGGCTTAAATTTTGGGAGTGCCTGCCAAAAATGCCCTTAGGAAAATTACCTAATTCTAGGAATTGGGGAAGGTCAACTCACTATATGCTACTCTGTAATAGAAATGGGAATTATGAAGCACTTGGATGGCTCAGTCGGTTAAGCAGCTGACTCTTGATTTCAGGTTGGGTCATGATCATAGTTTGTGGACTTGAGCCCCATGTTGAGCTCAATGCTGACAGCATGGAGCCTGCTTGGGATTCTCTCTCTTCCCCTCTACTCTTGTTCTCTCTCTCAAAACAAATAAACATTAAAAAAGGGAATTGTTTTCTTTGAAAATTTATGTTGTTAAATGATTTTTATATTTACAGAATAATAATAAAGCAGTAGAACATTTTTAAGTTTCTTCCTTTTCTCTCCACTGCTTAGCTCAACAACATTTTCTGTCTAAAGGTCAGTGTACCCACAGTAGAAACCATATGTTGAGAAGTTGAGGATGCAGATGACTGAGAATCCTCATATCTTGACTTGTATCAGCTTTCTTATAGTAGAAATTCCACAGAAATGGAGCCGTTTTATTCATTCACATAACTCTTGATTGAAATTAGTATTTCTGGGGTCACCTGGGTGACTCAGTTGGTTAAGTGTCCGACTTCGGCTCAGGTCACGATCTCATGGTTTGTGAGTTTGAGTCCCGAGTTTGGCTCTGAGCTGACAACTCAGAGCCTGAAGCCCCCGTCAGATTCTGTGTCTCCTCCTCTCGCTGTCCCTCCCATGCTCATGCTCTGTCTCTTTCTCTCAATAATCAATAAAAACTTAAAAAAACAGAAAGAAATTAGTATTTCTATTATAAGCCCCAAATCACAGTTCCGTAGATTTTGGTGGGGGTGTGGAGTTTATTGTTGTGGAAATTCATTTCATGTATTTTTAACCCTGGTGTGTGTGTGTGTCCTCATGTGTATGTGTAATCTGAACTCTGTTAGTTGGCTTCTATGTATGTATGTGTAATCTGACCTCTAATAGTGAGCTTCTGATTCATTAGCTTTCAGAAACAATATATATTTGTAAGGGTTTTAGAATCAAATAGAATATTTATTTTGCTCATTTAAGTTATATATCTTACTGTCCCCTAATATATCAGATGAAAAAATGGAATGAATTCCCCTTTCTCTTTAAGCCCATATGTCATCTTAAACCCTTTAATATTTTAGTAGAGTTTTAATAATAAGCATTTATTATCTTTGAACAGAAATTAAAAAGTATGTCTTTGTAATACAGTTAATGTTGTGCAGTGAGGTTTGCTAACTAAGATTTTCTGTTTCCAGCGGAAGAAAAAGTGGCTTTTGTTAACTGGATAAACAAAGCCCTGGAGGATGACCCTGACTGTAAACATCTCATGCCCATGAATCCTCATGATGACAGTCTTTTCAAATCACTTGCAGATGGCATCCTTCTTTGGTGAGTCAAACTTTGGGTTAAGGGAGATGTGTTCTTTCTCTCTCCATCGATGAGCATTCAGTGAAAACTACAATTTAATGAACAAGTATGTAGGTATTGAAGAATTCATATTGCATAGAAAATTAAGTACCAAAACTTCCCAGAATTTTTCTTCAAATGTGATGTCTTCTTTTTCTGCTGTCTTTTCCATCTATTTCCTTAGTGATCCCAGGAAAATGTTTAGTTATTCCTCTGATGTATTTAAAAACATTCACAAGGGGCACCTGGGTGGCTCAGTTGGTTAAGCATCCAGCCTTGGCTCAGGTCATGCTCTTGCAGTTCTCGAGGTTGGCCATGTCAGGCTCTGTGCTGACAGCTGAGAGCCTAGAGCCTGCTTTGGATTCTCTGTCTCCCTTGCTTTCTGTCTGTCTCTCTCTCTCTCTCAAAAATAAACATTAAAAAAAAATAAAAACGTTCACAGGGTTTTTTTCTTCACTTTCAATAAGGGATTATTTACTGAGACAGGGACATGAGTACATGTAAAAGAAAGATGTGTCTTATTTGTGCTTAAATGAAATTAATGTTTTAAATCAATCTTGTCATATCCTTGGCTCTTTGCAGCATGTTTCTGCCCACTAGGCTATAAACTCTCTCAGTGCACTTCTTTGTGTCTGTTGTGTGTACTGTAACTATAGTTCCAGCATACTTCTTTGTACAAAGCAGGTGTCTTTTTTTTAGGTTTATAAAAATATAGAAAACTTACAAAGAAGAAAATAAGTATTACAAATATTCTTTTTTTTTAATTTTTATTTATTATTTCTAGGTGAGAGAGAGCGTGAGCAGGGGAGGGTCAGAGAGAGAGGGAGTCACAGACTGAAACAGACTCCAGGCTCTGAGCTGGCAGTCAGCACAGAGCCCGACACGGGGCTCGAACCCACAAACCGCGAGATCATGACCTAAGCGAAAGTCGGACGCTTAACCGACTAAGCCACCCAGGCGCCCCACAAATATTCTTATTACCCATAATTATATATCATTAATATTCTGGCATGTTTCTTTCAGTCTTTTTTCTGTGTTTTTACTTAAAAACCCAACCTACCCTCAAGTACAGGATAGTTTTAAGAACATAATATGTAAAATATAACTTGACCTCAGTTTACAATTCTGATTTCTTCCTCTGACCTTCAGAGGAGATTGTTATTAGCTGCATGGATAATTTTTTGTCTTTTTTTAAAAATTTTATTTATTTATTTATTTATTTATTTATTTGGGGGGGGGGCATAAGTGAGCAAGGGGCAGAGTGAGTAAGAGAGAGAATCCCAAGATGGGCAGAGAGAGAGAGAGAAGTGGGGCTTACCTGAAGCGGGGCTCGAGCTCACCCAATGCGGGGCTCAAACTCATTAACCGTGAGATCATGGCCTGAGCCAAAGTTGAATGCTTAACCAACTGAGCCACTCTGGCGCCCCATCCTATCTTTATTTTAAAATATAGATTCTAGGGGCGCCTGGGTGGCTTAGTCGGTTAAGCGTCCGACTTTCGCTTAGGTCATGATCTCGCGGTTTGTGGGTTCGAGCCCCGTGTCGGGCTCTGTGCTGACTGCCAGCTCAGAGCCTGGAGTCTGTTTCAGTCTGTGACTCCCTCTCTCTCTGACCCTCCCCTACTCACGCTGTCTCTCTCTCTCCCTCCTAGCAATAAATAAAACATTTTAAAAAAATAAAATAAAATATAGATTCTAAAATCTAGACATAAATTTTTTATTAATATCTTTTAAAATGTTTGAATTATTGAAGTTTTAGAAAGTCCATGTCTCTGGCTCTTTCTGCAACAACAGTAATTTTGACACTGTTGATACCACTTTATGAAACTTGGGGTTTGGAGGATTTCTTTGTCTTTTCAGACTGCTGAACGTTGATGGTCATTAAATGACATAAAGACAAGACTCACATAAAGAAAATGCAAGTTTTAAAAAGTTAGGAGGAAATGCAAAGATGACTGTTATAGTGAGTGATGGATTTGTTTTAGGTTAGGGAGTATTTCTTAGGTTTTAAAAAGCAAGTCTTTGACATGAATCACAGTATAATATTTTTTAAAAATGGATTGTTACTACTTTTCAAAATTTAACTATTTTGTCTATTTTGAAAAGCAAACTAAAAAATCTTAAAGTATTTAACTTAAATTATTTATCTTAAATAAGCTGGAAGTCTTAAACTAAATTATTACCTTTTTGTCTTTAGCAAGATGATCAACCTATCTGAACCAGATACAATTGATGAAAGAGCCATTAATAAGAAAAAGCTCACCCCTTTCACTATTTCTGTAAGTATTTGCCCTTTGCTAGTAATCATGTTACCGTGCTATAAAATGTAAGGCCTTTATTAATGGATGTTTAGGCCCAGGTAAAACTTTCTTTACTCCAGTTTTATTGAGAAATAATTGGCATATATTACTGTGATGGTTTGATTTACATATATTGTGAAACGATTACCACAATAGATTCAGCTGATAGCCATCTTCTCATAGAGATACAATAAAAAGTAAAGGGGGAAAAAAAGAAATGAGGACAAAAATTTTCTCCTTGCGATGAGAACTCAGAGAATCTACTCTTTTAACAACTTTCCTGGTTATCATACAGTAGTGTTAGCTATAGTTATCATGTTGTACATTACATCCCTAGTGCTTGATTATCTTATAACTGGAAGTTTGTACCTTTTTACCACCTTTCTCCAATTTTTCCTTCCCTCATACTTTGCCTCTGGTAACTCCAAGTTTGATCTCTTTCTCTCTGAGTTTGGTATATTTTGTTTTAGATTCCACATATAAGTGAGGTCATATAGTATTTGTCTTTCTCTGTCTGACTTATTTCACCTAACATAGTGGCTTCAAGGTCCATTCATGTAAAACATTTGATTTAACATAATTTCAATTTCCTATAAAAACTAGATTTTTATTCAATGAAAGTCAGCTGTATTTTGTACTGAATGAAATTAAGACTCAAAGTGCTTGGAATGAACTTAAGGCAGTAGTATTCAAGTTATATAATTATAATCATTCAGTTGCTTTTATTTATTTTTATTATTTTTTTAAGTTTACTTTTGAAAGAGAGAGAGAGTGCATGCACACGCATGTGAGCAAGGAAGGGCCAGAGACACAGGGAAAGAGAGAGTCCCAAGCAGGCTCTGTACTATCAACAGATTATCAACAGGCTCTGACTGAGCCACCCAGATTCCCCGAGTTGTTTTTTTTTAATACAATTTTTTTCTTTTTTTAAATGTTTATTTATTTTTGAGAGAGAGATAGCACACATAAGCAGGGTAGGGACAGAGAGAGAGAGAGGGAAAGAGAGAATCCCAAGTAGGTTCCATGCTGTCAGCACAGAGCCTGACATGAGGCTTGAACTCATGAACTGTGAGATCATAACCTGAGCCAAAGTTGGACACTTAACTAACTGAGCCACCCAAGTGCCTCTGAGTTGCTTTAATAAACAAATATTTGCTGGATGCTGTTGTTCTCAGTTTAAGTAAGAGTATGGTATAGTTTTACCATTTCACAGAATTTGAGCTATTCTTTTTTACTATATTGTTCTGTAGTCAGCTTCTCCATTAAAGTCTTGTTAAAGTCAGGAATTTATAGTCACCACACTTTTCCCCTCAAAATCAAGAGACTTACTATTTACCAGTCACCGTTCTAAACAAACTGATGAATTATCTCTTTGACTCTTCCCAGCACTCTTAAAATAAGGTAAATACCTATGTTTTTACATATGGGAAAACTGAGGTACTGAGAAATTACCTGGGATATGATTCCAGTGGTCTAGATCTAGAGCTCATCCTTATAATCACTGTGCTATAGTGCCACTCTGGTGTCATGGTAGTAATAGCAAATAGGTAATATACAGCCACAGCTGCAGCTATTAAAAATGAGCTCCTGCTAAGCTCTTTCCTTCATTTCTATTGGCAAATACAATCCTTGATTCTGCTAATGTTGTTTAGTCTCTTTTATAAGGAAGCTACAACCTTGGGGCAGTGGTACACAGTTAAACTTGGACTATTCAAAGAGTACTCCCATTTCCTGTTATCCTTGAGAAGTATAGAATGTTAGTATAGGCTGTTGACTAACATGGCTTTCTTGTCTCCCACTTTCCAATAAGCCAATAATATTGCATAATCCTGGCAAGAATTCTTAAAGAAGCCATTTCTGATTGCAGTTGTGGGAAATTTATTTTCTTTCACATCTTGTGTCAGGATGTTTCATTTAGTATATATGATTGTTGAAAATATTCATATATATCTTATTTTTTTTTAATTTTTTTATTTAGTTTATTTATTTTTATTTATTTCTAGGAGAGAGAGAGAGAAACAGCGTGAGCAGGGGAGGGTCAGAGAGAGAGGGAGACACAGACTCTGAAACAGGCTCCAGGCTCTGAGCTGGCAGTCAGCACAGAGCCCGACGCGGGGCTCGAACCCACGAACCGCGAGATCATGACCCAAGCGAAAGTCGGACGCTTAACCGACTAAGCCACCCAGGCGCCCCATATATATCTTATTTTAAGAATACACGTGTCACATAATTTTTTATGGCACAGACCCTGAAATACAGCATTTCTCACTATTGTACAAATGTATTATTTGGTTTAACTTTTAACATTTGTATACAGTATGTGAAAGAAAATAAAAAAATTTTCTCTCGCTATTTTACAATAACTACATGATGGGTCTGAGGGGCTAAGTCTTTTACAGTTTTAGTTTTAGAGATAACATTCTTCCAGTATGAGTAGAGGATAATAGTCTAGATATTTAGGAGGCTCGAAAGAATATTCTAAAGTAGAATGGGAAAACACAGGCCTCTGGGAAGCAGCAAAGTGTAAATTTGGATATTAAATCTCTCTTATTGTCAGTAATTTTAGAGGTCTGGGAATAGATCTGCTAAAATAATACCAGTTTCCCATGAAACTTTATCCCAAAGAAGCCTCATTCATTTGTAAAAGATTGTAAAGTTGTGATAATCTAGTTTTTTTTTTTTTTTACCTCATGATGATAGGTCTATGTAGTATCATGATGTATGAAAGAAGAGAAATATGATAGGATGAAAATGACATATAATATCTATGAGTGCACGGGAAAGAGATCAAGCAGTACAGAGACGGCTAAAACCATGGGATTTTTTTTTTTTTTGACTAGAGCATTTTGCTTTTATATATATTACTTATGTTTTAAAATCTGAATTTTCACAATCTATTCTTTCTTATTTACTTTCACAACTAGTTAATAAAACTTTAGAAAGTACTTTCTCAAATGTGTTTTTCCTTGTGGCAATTCAGGAAAATTTAAACCTAGCCTTGAATTCTGCCTCAGCCATCGGTTGTACAGTGGTCAACATTGGTGCACAGGATCTCAAAGAAGGAAAACCTCACTTGGTCTTGGGACTTCTCTGGCAGATCATCAAAGTTGGTCTTTTTGCTGATATTGAGATTTCCAGGAATGAAGGTAGAATCATAAAAAATATGTACTTTTAATTGACACATACTTACTATGGGAAAAATTTATATTTCAATGTTTTCCTCTCAGCTCTAATTGCATTGCTAAATGAGGGTGAAGATCTAGAAGAGCTGATGAAACTTTCTCCAGAGGAATTACTGCTGCGATGGGTGAACTACCATCTGACCAATGCAGGATGGCGTACCATCAGCAACTTCAGCAATGACATTAAGGTTTATATTTTAATGCTCAACACTGTGACATAAATAAGGACATAGAATGTAAAAACACAAAAGGTGTTCAGACTTGAATTTGAATTGAGGTTTAATTCATAAGGACACAGTGTAGAAAATGGAACTTTGCATTTTTCTGTCTGAAGTGGATCTCCCAATTATAATTGCAAAATATTTTATTTTAAAAAAATGAGTTTAAACGTATGGTTACCAGAAAGGAAGAGGATGGGGGAATGGGTGATGAGCACCAGGTGTTATATGGAGGTTTTGGGACATTGTTGTATACCTGAAAGTAGTATTACACTCTATGTTAACTAACTAGAATTTAAATAAAGGCCAAAAAATAAAAAGGACAAAATATTCTTTTTGTAATAAAAAAACTGGTTTATTGGTATTTAAGAAGAAATACAACTAGCTGTGAGAAGGCAATGTTAGTGCTAGCAGATAAAGTCCTTTCCCATTTTATATGCCACAGAAAGACTAAATGATAATAGAATGTCAGTCTATTAATTTGAACTAAAAATTCATCTGTTCACTGGATGAGAGGCCCTTGTGAACTCGGCCAGTCCAACATTCTTACTCCCACTTTGCCAATAATCAGCTAACAGGGGTCCAAATATCGGAGGGCACAGGGATTCAGTAAACAAAAGGAATCCTTCAGGTATGGTTCTCAACCAGAATGGCTTGAAATGCTTCCCTCCCTACTGGGAAAGCTTGTTGAGGAAACTATAACATTCAGTGTGCCTAACAGCTCTCCCCCTGTCATTTCCCTGGACATGCATTGCCAAACCGGGTCCCTGTGACTTCTTCTCTATGCTTCCCACCCCCCACCCCAGACAGCATTAGCATTTATTTGTATTTTCTGTAGATATTGTAACACCTTCAGTCAGATTATATTTTTGTCATAATGGCCTTAGATGACAGTCTCTCTCCTTGAAGTGACATTATATTTCTCTGTTTTCATCTGTTACATGCTTATTTAAAATATTATTTTGGGGAACTCTCTTATTTTAAAATTCAGTTCATCACTTATTTGTTAAACCCCTCCCATGGGGTATTCTGCCAGGTACAGGGGATGCGAAGATTTAGCTCTTGAGAAGCTTACCAGTTACACAGGCAGATAAACACAAGTAGATGGGTATTTCAGTTATCTATTGCTGTATAACAAGCCACTCAGATGTATAACAAGCCACTCAAAATGTAAATAGCTTAGTTTTTGTATTTATTGATATACCCAGAAAAGTTATTTTGGGATTTTGTTTTTAGCTATAGGGAGTTTTCCCCCCAGTTCTCCTCAATGCTTTAGTTAATAAATGAGTATGTCGACACTCATAGGAAGCATTATTTGGAAATAGGGAATTTAGAAATAAACCCCAAAGATGTCTAATGTGATGCTCATAAAATTATATACTATGTATCTTCCTTTCAAAAAGTTAGGATGATACAGAAGCCCAAAGAAATGACTGAATTCACTTTACCCTTAAAAAAGAAAATAACTTAAAATAATAGTTTCCCATGATTCTGTGGGTTCATGCAGCTTGGTTGAGTGGTTCTGCCTCAGATGGTTTTGATTGGGATCACTAACTCATTGGCATTCAGCTGTCAGTTGGGCTGGTCTGAAGGGTGCATGAAGGCACCACTCACATGTCTAGTGCCTCATTATGTCTCCATGAGGCCTTTCCACATGGCTAGACTAGGCTTCCTCACAGCATGGTAGTCTCAAGATGGTTGGGACTTCCTACATGGAGGCTAACTTCAAGAGGCAGGAAGCAGAAGCTCTTATGGCTTGGGCTTGGAACCCCTAGAACATCACTTTCACTGCATTCTCTTGTTCAGAACAAGTTACAAGGCCATTCTGAGTTAATGGGGGAGAGTTCCAGAAGATAATGACTGACCCTAATCCTAACCAGTGCTGATGTTTGGGAGCATAAACAAATGAAAAAGTGAGGAAAGTTATTCCAAGTATAGAGAACAGTGTTGCTAGAAGCTAGAAGGTGTGAAGCAGCACAGTATATTCAGGAGCTTATATAAGTTATAAGTAAAGTTACTAAGTTATTCCATTCTTCAAGATGAGGACAATTTCTTCAGTTTGAGTACTGTTTTCCTAAATCAACTGATGACTATTCATTTTAAAAGTTCTGTTTCATTTTTTTCCTTGAAGGATTCAAGAGCCTATTTTCATCTGCTTAATCAGATTGCACCTAAAGGTGACCGAGATGATGGACCTGCCATTACCATTGATCTTTCAGGATTTAATGTAAGTATGGTTTTTAATTAAAATTTTTATTTTGATAAAACATACATAACAACATTTACCATTTTAAGTATACATTTAATTGGCATTAAGTACATTTGCATTGTGTACAGCCATCACCACTATCTCTGAAACTTTGATTATCCTATAGTGAAATCTATACCATTAAACAATAACTATTTCCTTGTCCCCCAAGTCCCTGGTAACCACTGTTCTACTTTCTGTCTCCATGAATCTGACTGGTGAGTAGAGTCAGATTTAAAGTGCGGTTCTCCACAGGCAGCATTCCCTGGTGGAGTCCTCAGCTCTTCATTAAACCTTGCCCCTTTGCTCTTCAGAAGTTTTTTCATGCCTTAGGCTTCAAATCTTCATGCCTTAGGCTTCAAATCTCCATGCTAAGCCATGTGGCTGTCATAACTGAAGAAAGGGAATTGCAGAATTCTGATCTTGAGTATGTGTGGAATCAACCCTGCATCCACATTTTCCTGGTGCAACATAACTGGAATTCACCAGGGTGCTTTTGTGGCTATCACTGTGTACTAGGATAGCGAGCAATACACCATTATTAGATTGCTAAGCAACTGAATTATCAGCTCTTTCAACTTCTATTCAGAAATCTACAGAATAGGGGCACCTGGGTGGATCAGTCGGTTGAGCATCCAGGTCGTGATCTCGCAGTTCGTGGGCTCGAGCCCCTCGTGTGACAGCTCAGAGCCTGGAGCCTGCTCTGGATTTTGTGTCTCCCTCCCTCTCTGCCCCTCCCCTGTTTGCACTCTGTCTCTCCAAAATAAATAAAAGTTGAAAAAAAAAAAAACCCCAGAAATCTATAGAATAAAAGATGGCTGGCTGTTCTTCGTGTTTACAGTGTAGGGAGGACTGATGCAGATCCTGACTCATCTAACACATTTCCCAGGAATCCCATTTTTTAGTATGCATTGTAAATAGTGGGGATCGTCCTATCTAAATATTAAATTCTAATAGACTGTAGTTTGTGTGATAATCTATTAAGTACTTTAAGTGCAACATCCATGATAGTTTTAAAGGCAAATTGAGTCATTACAAGTTAATTATACTTGACATTATTACAATAAAACATTTGAGAAAGTATTGCAAAACTGCAAAATTTGCAAATTGGTTTGAGTAAAAAAATTAGGAAACTAAAAAAACTTACGGAAAATTTCAAACATAATAAAAAATGAATAAACCCAGTATACTGAACTACTGTGTGCTCATGCCCCAGATTCAACAACTATCAACTCATGGTCAATCTTTCATCTATCACCTATCCTTCCTCTCCCATATTGTTTTGAATGAAATCCTGGACATCATATCATTTCATTGATAAGTATTTCAATATGTATTTCTGAAAGATAAAAACTTTAAAAGTATAACCATAATACCTTATCTTACCTAAAAAGTTAACAATAATCTGTAATATTATCAAAATATTTAGTCCACTTTGACATTTCCAATTGCCTCATAAATGTCAGATTTTCTTTTCATTGTTTATTTGAATAAAGATCTAAATAAGGTCCCCATATTGTAATTTGTTCATGTTAATATTAGGAACTTTTTATTGTTTAATAGCATTGAATCTATCGCTTTCTCTGATTTCACTTACATTTTTACTTTTTTGTAACTGGTGCACAGTATGAGGTAATAATTCTTGGTCATAATATACTTTCATCATGGATCCACGCATGTCCCTTTTTTATTTATATTTATTTGTAGTTGTTTGTTTTAAAGTTATAACAAGTCCGTCTGTATGAACCCTCAATCCAAGAACGCTAAGATCTTGATATTAACTTACATTTAGCTCTGTACTTCTTCCCTATTCCATCTTTCTGCCTCATCTTAATATGAAAATCACCACCTTGAATCTTATGTTCATTGTTCTTTTGCTTTTTTTAATAGTTTTCTTTCAACCAAATATATTCCCTATAAAATTAAATTTTTCATTTTACTTTTTAACTTCATATGAAATTTGTTACCTTGTATTTAAATTGCTAATACTTATTTTGAACATATATTGCTAAGAGTCACTCATATTATTGTGTATAACTGTGTACATATAAAACAGTCTGTCTGCTTTCCTGTTGAAAAGCATTTGGTTTGTTTCCAGGATTTTGCATTTGTGAAAAGTGCTGTTCTTCTGATTTTAATATGATTTTATTTGTATCCCAACTTGTTTTTCACTGAGAAGAGTCTATTGGAAATATTATTCAGGGTAGAATGGGTGAGACAACTAAGCTTCTTAGCCAAAAGACCTTCCAGTATATGGCCTTGACCAAATTATTGATAATTTGATCAGCAGGAGCTGTTTAATATGATATTTGAGAGCTTTGTTGAATATTATAGCAATGAAGGTGAAGTATTCCTCTGATCCCAGTAAGAAAACTCCAGAGAAGTTGATTTGGAATTTCTGTACATTCTGACCTTATTTTGACCTATCACTTAATATCTCCAGAAACGTGACTGCTTATAAATATTACCTCAATAAACAATTATGCCAATCAAAAATTTAATCTTGACCATTTTTTTGTTATTGTTGTTGTTTAGGAGAAAAATGACCTGAAGCGGGCTGGACTCATGCTTCAAGAAGCAGATAAACTGGGCTGCAGACAGTTTGTTACTCCTGCAGATGTGGTTTCAGGCAATCCTAAACTTAATTTAGCTTTTGTAGCTAATCTGTTTAACACATACCCATGCCTACATAAGCCTGAGAATAATGACATCGATATGAATTTATTGGAAGGTATGTTCTTTCTGCCTTTAATTGCTTCACTGTATGTATCTTCTTGTGATGTTGACCCTCTTCAGTTTCAGAGGTAGGGGATTGTGGTGGGAGATGCAGTTTACTGTGGGTAGGCATGTGTGTCCATTAAAACGTTCAAGTAGGGAAAATTGGTTATTGGTTTTGATTCAAAGAGAATGCTGGGGTATGTCTTACTTGTCTGTCATTTCTGCATAAGAGTTTAGTCAAAACTATCATACATTTAAAATAGTCTCTTAAATGACCACATAACATAACTCCACCACCAATATAGACAATGAATTATCTATTGGAAAAAATAATCATTTTGTAGCTTTTATTCTCCTTTGAAAGCTACACTTTGACTCCAGTATTGTTCTCTTTTTAATGTTTTTAATGTACAGGAAAAAATTTTTAAATATTCATTACTTGTCGTGTGTGGGCTATTGTTATCTGTCTCATAATTTATAATACTTTCCTATTTTGCTTCATGAAATGCAGATTTGACCCCTCCTAATGTAGGTACTGTATTTAGTACTTTTCTATACTCTATAAATATATTCATTCTGAAATTCTTTTTATTAGTACCATTTATTCTTTCTGAGTTGATATTATTTTTTGCATTGTTCATGCTGTGTTTTTTCTGTCTTAATATGCCTAAAGAATGATGACAAGGAAGAAATACAAATGAAACTTAATTAAAATAGCAGAGCAAGGCTTGATTATATAAACTCTCCACCAAATTTGCCTTCTATGATGCTGGGATATTATAGTTATAAATACATTAAAAATCAGTTTTGACAATTGGATTTCAAAGTATAAAGGCTTTATCCCTCTCCTGTGAATAAACTTATCTTTTAACATAAGTAGTCTTTGGAAGAATCTATTTAGGTTCTATAATATCTTTTTTGGGGTATTATTTAGGTATGGTACATTTCTTGAATGTCTTTGAAGCTTACAATATATGAATCATAACAACATAAACATTCTCACTATCTAGTTCTTTGTCCCCATCTTTGTTTCCTAGCCTCTCTTCTCTTCTCTTCTCTTTCTCACATTCTCACAGATACACCCCAAACCACAATAATATCAGAACTAAAGGTAAAAACAGTAGCAGCATTCAGAACTAGGGACTGGTCCTAAAATATTCTCACTAGCTGCCCTAGTTTGGAGAAGGCAGTCTTCAAGTAGGGCTTCTTGGTGGTGAGAATTCGATGTTGCCGTGTTCATTCTCTCGTCACCCACCTTACACCCTCCCTTCCCCGGGGAGATAGACTGAGAAATCAGTTCCATGTTCTCTTTGACTGCCACAACTAGAGGTCCAGTGTCCTTGACACTTTATAATTACATGTTTTTGATTAATGAAAAAAGTTTCAGATTTAACAAATATGTTCTTTGAGGAATATGATTAATTCAGTTCACTCTTCCCGAGGTCCAGTAAAATAAAGACTGTATCCTTTACATAGATTTGTATTTGGGAGGAAGGATAGATAAAAGTGTAGATCTTTCAGCAGAGACATTTTGGGTAAGAGATTAGAACTTTAAAAAAATTAAATAAAAAGGAAGACTGCTAAGTTTTTATCAGTCTGGAAAATTTCAAAATCCCTCTGTATCTTACAATAGAAGGCATTGTTTAGAGTGGCATATTAAATATGACCTGCTTTTTATAGTCACTGAATTCTTGCTAGATATCTTTTCCAACTTGCTCGCTCTCCTACTTGTCATGTTTGAATTCTTTTGCTAGTGTTCAGCATGCTTTTGGAATTTTTCAGTGTGAATAGGATTGCTAAATATTTCCATTAGCATTTACTCTGTTTATATAAGAAGATACTATGGGAAATATTTATCAATCACCTTTATTTAGAACATATGTATATCCTGATACATTTGCCAAAATGTATGTGACTTCGACTGTCATTGGAATTTTTCCTCTGTAAATTTGTTTTTGTAGATCCTTATGAAATTTGAAGCTTGACTTTATCACCTCCCCATTTAATATATTAGTATGTCATCATTGGCAAAGAATTTTATCTGTATGGAATTGAGAAAATTAAAAGCCCAACTAAGTATAAAACTTTCATATTATATTGAGCCAAATTCTGAGTCTCGGAATTCATTGGTGGTGCTAGAAAATACATAGGCCATTGAATTATACCTTGTTCAAATTATGGGTCCACCATTTAGTATCTGAGTGACTTCTGTCAGCCTTGGTTTTTTCATCTGTAAAAACAGATTAATAATACTAATTTTGAAGAATTACAGAGCAGGTTAAAATGACTTTTCATGAATGAAAGCGTTGAGCATACAATATGTGCTCAGTAATTGTCAGGTTGGGAAGAGGAAAACGCATATCACTTAGCACATTTAGTGAGTGTTAAATATATGTTCCTTTTCTTTCCTCTTAGTAGTCTGCTTATAATATTTTATTTTTTTCTGAAACTTTTTTCAATTGCAGATAAGTTTGGCCCTGAAAATGAAATGTTTTGTAGTTCTTTCTATCTTTTATATCAGCAATTAAGATTTTATTTCTAAGATTGCCTTAGTTGTCTGCAATACAGACAACACTTATAATCTGGAATACATATGTTTTTGTAATGCTTTACCATCACTCTTGCACAAATGCATACTGCTTCTGGCTTTGAGCATTTATTTACCAAGACAACTGGAAATGGTATTAGATAAATAAATGCTTACATTTATAATCTATTTTACTTTCCAGGCATCAAAAATTAAAATAATAACTATCTCATTAGTAGAGAAAAGTGGGAAGAAATATGAACCCCTGAAGCTTATAACAGTTTCAGAACTCAGTCAAAATCTGAGTGTCTTTTTAAATATTATTTGCTGTATTATCAGGTTCAGCAGGATTTGGATATTGTTTCAATTAAAAATTAGACTTATTACATTATCAATATTTGTAATTTTAAAACAGAACTTGGATTTTCCTAGAAGGAAATAATGTAAAAATTCTCTAATTACTAGTAAAATATCTATTACAGATTGTAATACAGAAACAACTAAAAGGGTAAATCCAAGTCACATGCATCAAACTGTTGATGATAGTATGTTTATATTTATGTCGCTTTAGGGAAGGTTCAGATATTTAATTTGCACTTGTTTAATAACTCCTACAAGCAGGCAAAGCATGGTTTCTAGAAACATTTAGTTTAACCTGGTTAACTTTTTAAAAATTTTTCCATATAGATTATTTATCATAAAGTGATAGTAGCAGGTACAAGAGACTGGCCAGTTACTTTTTATGCATTCCAGAAAGAACAAAACTTAAGAAATTATGTGGCTATATCATTTAATAGAATAAGAATTAAAGTAGATTCTGGGAAGGCTGTTAGATACTAACATAGAAAACTAAATGAAAATACAGTGGACAGATTATTTCCTGAACAGCTGCCACCAAAAAACAAACAAACAAACAAACAATGGAATTCTTTAGAATTTACAAGGTTTGGTTTCTCTTCTGGGTGTGCAGGTTTATACTATCTGTGGCACTGAGTCTGAATATGATTGCAGGGATGGCTCTACTGGATGGGCCCTGACGCTCAGACAGTTATAGATTTAGAATGCCAAATCGTCCTGGGAATCCCAGATGAGTCTAAGTCTAGAGAGTGACCTGCACTTGCCTATGGTTTAGAAGTGATGAGAGGTGCAAATGTTCTAGCTTTTCAGGAGTGATGAGATGTAGGTTAGGCTATTACATTGTCCCCTACCATTGCTGAAAACAAATAATATTGTAGATAGTCACTTAGGACTGCAATCTAGGGGATGCCTAGAATGCAGACATGGCAATAGAGTCCATCTCCCTCTCTGCCCACTTTGTGGTACACCTTAGCTCACGTTTCCCTTATAGATGGTATGAGCACTGCTATGAAGGGAATGCTCAGGGAGGTTAGGTAATCACAGGTTAAATAACAGTGCCTGCACAAGTTTCTTACTGAGATGATCTTTGAGCCCTAGGGACTTAACTATCATGTCTTTCTCTTAGCGCCCTGTGTGTAGGGCTGTGTCCCTTGTGTAATTTCAGCAGTGACAATCTAAGATAACTCAAGAAGCCTGTAAAAGAGTTATATCCCTTCCTTGCTTATTTTTTTAATTTAATTTTTTATTTAAGAGAAAGAGAGCATGTGTGAGTGAGGGAGAGGGGCAGAGGGAGAGGGAACTATTGAGAGAGACAGACAGAGAATTCGAGCAGGCTCCATGCTCAGCACAGGGCATGATCCCATGACCTGAGCCGAAAGCAAGAGTTAGATGCTCAACCAACTGAGCCACCCAGGATCCGATTTCACTGCTTATTTTTTATATTACCTGTAATCGCCTCTCCCTTTTATTGCTGTTTGGTGTAATTAAAATGTAGGTTTGTGTGCCTAGAAACTTTCCTGTGTGAAACCAAACCTGTACAAATTTGTAAACACTGCATTGGGAAAGGCATAGCTTTTCTTCTATATTTAATGTGCTAATGTTGCCTTGACTGCTAAAAGATTTTGTTTCATTAATTTTTAACCAATCCTTTTTGCATATAATAACTACAGTTATGACCATGTAAGTTCCTCTGTTACTTTCTGGACGGAGAAACCCGTAACTCAGTCTGATGTTCACAGACATCAAGTTAGGACTCTAGATAGAGAAATTTAGAGCAAATGGAAGCCTTCTAGACAAAGGGCAAAAAGAGACTTTGGCAATAGGAGGTTCCCCCTCCTCCAAATCCCAAGAAATTGTAGTATCACAGAAAACCACAGCAAAATATGTATTGCTAGTTTACACCTGCTGGGATGGTTTAAAATATATTTGTTGATGCCTTTTGTCCTGAATCATCAGTATGAACTTGTGTCTACTCTAGGAGAGAGCAAGGAAGAGAGGACATTTCGGAACTGGATGAATTCCTTGGGGGTCAACCCATATATTAATCATTTGTACAGGTAAATATTTTATTGTGTTTTAGCTCAATGGCCAGAGTCCAACTTTTCTAGTTTCAAACCACAGGTATGTTTACATTAGAACATTTTCTAAAAATCATGAGAGTTTTAACCAACATTTAGAATTTCAGAATGCTAGAGATTGGCAATACAATGGATATTTAAAGAAAAGTGTTAATTTAAAAAGACCAGAATATGATAATATTAGTTATAATTTTGATGATATAAACAACCAATTTGGTAAAGATAATCCATCTTACTCTTGCATAATTCTTGATCAGAAAAATAACAAATTGTTTCAGGGCACCTAGGTGTCTCTGTTGGTTAAGCATCCCACTCTTGATTCAGCTCAGGACGTGATCTCACGGTTCTGAGTTCGAGCCCCATATAGAGCTGCATGCTGACATTGTGGGGCCTGCTTGGGATTCCCTCTCTCTTCTCCTCCTGGCTTATACTCTCTCTCTCTCTCAAAATAAATAAATAGACTTAAAAAAAATAATAAGTTATTTCAACTGTAACAGAATAGTGATGTTTTATAAAGTGTTCTTATTAGTATATCAATATTTTTAATTATAAATCACATTTTAGATTTTTGCCAAAATCTACCTCAGTTATTCTGTAATTTGTTGTGTATATTTTTATCTAATTTGTAGAAATAACTTGCTTTTTGTGAGTAATTATAATTTATCTTGTTTTTTCTTGCTTAAAAATGACAACACATTATCAGCATTGGTGATAATTAAATATCAGAAATATAAGAAAATATTTCACTGAATAATTTCTTACACTCTTTGATGGTGCTAACAATGTGTCTTTCTAGGTTTGGATAAGAGGAAACCTTTCTGCTTTCTTTATTATAGGATCTACCAGCCTGCCTTTAAAAATGCAAAAGAGGGTTGCCTGGGTGGCTCAGTTGGTTGAGCATCTGATTCTTGATTTTGGCTCAGGTCATGATCTCACGGTTTGTGGGATAGAGCTCCACATCGGGCTCCCTGCTGACAGCATGGAACCTGCTCGGGATTCTGTCTCCCTTTCTCTCTGCTGTTCCCCTACTTGTTCGTTCCCTCTCTCTCTCTCTCTCTCTCTCTCAATAAATAAATAAATAAATAAATAAATAAATAAACAAACAAACTTTAAAAAGTTGGTTCAGGAAAGCATCTTGAATTATCTGGAAATCATTTCAAACTGTCTGGGCTTCAGTTTCCCTCTTCACAAAACATGAATAATACTAAATATAAATATGAATTCATTGAAAGAAAAAAAGAAAAACTCATGAAACAGAGGAGATTCCAGAACCAATATAAATGCTTGAGTAATTTATTTTTACAAAGCTTTTTTAAAATGTTTATTTATTTTGAGAGAGAGTGTGAGCAGGGGAGGAGCAGAGAGAGAAGAGAGAATCTCAAACAGGCTATGCACTGTCAATGCAGAGACAAATGTATGGCTCGAACCCATGAACTGTGAGATCATGACCTGAACCAAAATCAAGAGCTGGTGCTTAACTAACTGAGCCAACCAAGTTCTCCTTTAGTAATTTTTTTTTATACAAAACTCTCCATGTGCTTTTATAGACAATTCAGTCAGCTGTCAATTGCCTCCATAATAGATTTATCCTTCCATCACTCAGCTTAGGGCCCAGTCCCCTTCACTGCCATAGGGTGTTGGCAGAGTTGCAAAGTAAACTTTCTTATGAATCTTAGCAACTCAGTGAACAAGTTGTTGAGGGAGAAAAGCCATGCAATACATCATGGAGCTAGCAATTTAAAAAATCAATTGCTGTTGTTTTATGTCCTTAGCATGCAGAATTTAAAACAGACTCAACGGATATACTTTGAGCACTTCAGAAGAATGTGTTTTTCTGAATCCAAAGTACTGCTATTCTTACTTTAAGAACGCCTACTTGCTCATAAATTCTTTCCTCTTAACCTTCATTATTTAACATGAACAACTGCGTACTTTGTAGTTATTGTGATTTTCATGTAATGTTTTTAAAGTTTTAAAAATCATAATATGTAAGTAATACATGAACTTAATCTCACTGTACAAGCTTCAGGAAGTATGTAAGTACATAGAATAAAATTAAACATGATGATACTTTCCTTACATCTCCTATATTCCTTTTTTCCTGCCCAGAGGTAACTGCTGATAACAGTCCATAGCACATATAGATATTTAAATACTCTAGACTTTGAAAATAAATTTTATACATTGTAAACGGCATGCAGTTGCTTTTTTAAATGTAATATGTCTTATAAAACTTTTCATGTCAGTACATAGAGATTTACCTTATTACTCATGGCCCAGCAGTCAATAGTATGGATAGTTTATTCAACAGCCCTCTATTGCCAGGCATTTAAGTTGCTTCCAAATGTATGAATACCATGGCAGTAAATGTCTTTGTACATATTTCTTTGTAAACATTTATGAAAAAATTTTGGACAGATTCCTAGATTAGAAGTTCTAGGTGATATGATACATCCTGTCATTTTTTAAAGCATTAAATGACCCTGTTGTATTTTTAAAGACCTAAGCCTATCTCCATTGTGGATAATAAAATTCTTCTTTCTTCATTGTCTTTTCCTCTTGTTTTAGTGACCTTGCAGATGCTTTAGTGATCTTTCAGCTCTATGAAATGATCCGTGTCCCAGTCGACTGGAGCCATGTCAACAAACCTCCTTATCCTGCTCTTGGAGGGAACATGAAGAAGGTGAATGAGATAATCACCAAGGATATGTTATTATTGTTCTAATATAAAACAGAGGATTTGGACTCATAAAGCTTAGTAATGTGTGGTCTGTCTCCATGATTCTGATTCAGCCCAAAAAGTGTTAAGCTTGCTAGCCCTTTTATAAGTGTGCTTTAATAAATGTTTGGAAAGATGAAGGCAGTTCTCCCAGCCAAACACTTTATATAACTGTTTTTATCTTTAACAAGTAGTACTTAATGTTCTTTGAGGTACATCATAAGTGCATTCCTGTTTTATAATAATCAGAACTTGCCAAATCTTTGTTATTTTGTTAATATCTTTCAACAGATATTTAGTGATTACCTACTACCTGTACAGTGCAGGATAGGATACAGAATTGTACACAGCATGGAATTGATCCTCAAGAAGCCTAAAAAAATTAGATAAGATATGTGTGTAAACAACTGAATATAGTGCAGTGTGCAGAGAAGTAAATATGAGTTTGAAGGAAGAAAAGGCCACAGTTACCATGAAAAGCTTCATGCAGGAGGTAGTATCTGAGATAAGAGTGAGAAATGGATAGAATTTTGTTAGAAGGAGACTGGAGAGGGTCCTGAGGATCAGGAAAAGGGATAGTGATGGGCAAATATAAAATGCGTTTCTGGGAATTGGGGAGCATAGGTTGGCTATAGCAGAGGATTCTGATAGGTAAGAAGTATGAACACTGCATGGGGTGCCTGGGTGGCTCAGTTGGTTAAGCATCCAACTTTGCCTCAGTTCATGATCTCACGGTTCGTGGGTTGGAGCCCCGTGTCCAGCTCTGTGGCGACAGCTAGCTCAGAGTCTGGAGCCTATTTCGGATTCTGTGTCTCCCTTTCTCTCTGACCCTCCCCTGTTCATGCTCTCTCTCTCTCTCTCTCTCTCAGAAATAAGTAAAACACAAAAAAAAAGTTAAAAAAAGAAGTATGAACATTACAAATTTTGATGGGAGACAGATCTTGAGAACTTTGAATGTCAGATTTTAAAGCTTGTGTTTTTTCCAATGGAAACAATGAGAAGCAATTAAACAGTTTTGGGCAGGACAGTGACTTGATTACAGTCAGTGGGAGACTATCTGGCAGATGAATGATAAAGAGAAGTGGTTGTCTTCCAGTATTCTTTCTTAAATAGGGGATCTGAGGTGTCCTTGGTGTTCCTGTTTGTCCTGTTGAATTGCTGCTTTAGTACTGAACTTTAGTTTTGTTTTTGCTTTCCTTTTTACCATCTGTATCAGGATTATTTGCTTTCTAAAGTAAAAGTATGAAGGACTTTTACATTTTTGTATTTTAACTTTATCCTTTAAAGTATGAATAGTTTAAATACATAATATAAATTAGTGAACTCAAATTGCTATAATTATCAGTATGGCTATTTTGAAACTGATTGGCATCCTTATGATTTAAAAACTATTTCTAGTTGAATAAATGGAAATATAACCATACTCCTGGATAGAAACATTAAATCTTATGAAGATATTACTTCAAATTAATTTATAGGTGGAAAATAATTCCAGTTAGAATTCCATTAAGTCTCCTTTTGTGTATATATGGGCTTATATATGTGTGTTGTGGGATGGGATTTATAGTTATTCTAAAATTCCAGTGGATGAAGAAACAGGCCCAAATCACCAAGAACATTTTCTAAGAATATTGAGGCAGGAGCTGTTAGAAAAAGTATATAACTTTATTATAAAGCTAAAATAATTGAAATAATTTAATACATATATAAGAATGGAATGGAATAGTCTAGAAACCTAAAATATAAGAACTTAATATATGACAAGATTCTTGCTAAATTTGATAATAGGAAAAGGAAAGATCATCCAAAAACTGATGCCAGAACTAGTTACCTATTTTGTTAGAGGAAAAAGTGGTCTTCACCATATATAACCAACCAGAATGAATTCCAAATGGAGGAAGGTAAATAATTAAAGGATTAAATGTAATAAAAAACTAGAAATGATTACCCTTGGGATAATAAAAAACAACAAAAAAATGATATAGTAGGTTACATATAAATTTAAAACATCTGTGTGCAAAAATAAACATCATAATTAAAAACAATAAACTTGGTAAATTATTTGCAACAACTATGATAAGTGGTTAATATTCTTAACATGTAAGTAGTCCATACAAATTAATTACTAAAACTCAATTTCTGTTACTAAAATTGTAATACCAAAATGTGAAAGTGAACATTATGGATGAAAAGTTCACAGAAACAGAACGATGGATAATACACATATGAAAAACTTAGCACCTGCATTAAAGAAATGCAATTTCAGGGGCACCTGGGTGGCTCGATTGGTTAAGCATCTGATTTCGGCTCAGGTCATGATCTTGTGGTTCGTGGGTTTGAGCCCCGAGCTGGGATCTGTGCTGATAGTTTAGAGCCTGGAACCTGCTTTGGATTCTGTGTCTCCCTCTCTCTCTGTCTCATGCTCCGTCTCTTTCAAAAATAAACATTAAAAAAATACAATTTCAAATAAACAACTGGATTACACTGCATCCAATGTTAGAGCAAGTGTTACACTTATGTAACTTTTGTAGAATCAGTTTGGTAATACTGATCACTAATCTCCAAAAAAGTCCTTTGACTTAATGGTTTCACTTCTTATCTTTTCTGATGAAATAATCAGTCAGACTAGAAGTTGTATACCAAATTGCTTATCATAGCAATGTTTATAAAGCAAAAAATAAGCAAAAAAACCCTTAGTTGTTCAATAAAGGGTTAATAAATTATGATATACTCACATGATGAAGTAAAATATATCATTAAAAAGCAGTATTATTAGTGTTTTAATAATAGTGACATGGAAAAGAGCAGGATTCAAAATTGCATATACACATAGGAATCACATTTGTTTAAAATACACACACACACACACACACACACACACACACCCACACCCCCCCCCCCACCCACCCCCCTTCAGGAAAGGACTTCTAGGGTGCCTGGGTAGCTCAGTCGGTTGAGCATCGGACTTCAGCTCAGATCATGGTCTCGCAGTTCGTGGGTTTAAGCCCCGCATCAGGCTCTGTGCTGATAGCTCTGAGCCTGGAGCCTGCTTCAGATTCTGTGTCTCCCTCTCTCAATGCCCTTCCCCTGCTTGCACTCTGTCTCTCTCTGTCTCTCCAAAATAAATAAATATTAAATTTTTTTTTAAAAAGGACTTCTCTTCTTCCTTCAAATCTCTAAAATGAGTATGTTTTTATAAACTTTATAATTAAATTATTTTTAAGGGAATATATCATAATATTGAAGTAGTTAAATGGGTGGCATAATTATAAGAGATTTATATTTTTCAGTATTTCTAGGGATTGGACCACCTACGTTTAACATGTTATTTAATTGCCTATAATTCTTTTGGGAGTAGAATTCAGAAAATTTTGTTAACTAATTTATGTAAAGTTTCAAAATCAAAATGTCAGATGCAAATTTTTTTAGATTGAAGTCTAGTTGACACAAATTGTTACAGTAGCTTTAGGCGTACAACATAACAATTTGACAAGTCTGTGCTCACCACAAGTATAACTGCCATCTATCACCGTATAATGCTATTACAGTCCCATTGATTATATTCCCTCTACTGTATCTTTCATACTGGTGACCTATTCATTCCATAACTGGAAACCTGTATTTCCCACTCTCTTTCACCCATTTTATCCATCCCCGTCTTCCCCTGTACAACCACCAGTTCTTTGTATTTATTTTGCTTTTGCATTTATTTTGTTTGTTTTTTGTTTGCTCACTTGTTTTTTTAGATTCTACATATGTGAAACCATATGGTATTTGTCTTCTCTGGCTGGCTGACTTATTTCATTTAGCATAATACCCTCTAAGTCTATCCATATTGTTGCAAAAGGCAAGATCCCATTCTTTTTTTATGGCTGAGTAATATTCCATTGCATATATATGTACTACATCTTCTTTGTACCATCTACTGATGGGCACTTCCATATTTTGGCTTTTATAAACATTTATAAACAATACCTGTAATAAACATAAGAATGCCTAGATCTTTTTGAATTAGTGTTTTCATTGTCTTTGTGTAAATACCAGAAATGGAATTATTGAAGTGTATAGTGTTTCTATTTTTAATATTTTGAAGAACCTCCATTTTCCACAGTGGCTACACCAATTTACATTCCCACCAACAGTGCACAAGTGTTCCCTTTTTTCCACATCCTCACCAACACTTGTTATTTCTTGTCTTTTTCTACTTTTTTTTTTTGAATAGTTTAGGAAAAATAGGTATTGACTCTTCTTTAAATGTTTGCTAGAATTCACCTGTGAATCCATGTGATCCTCCACTTTTGTGGGGGATTTTTGATTACTTATTTAATTTTATTGCTGCTAACTGATTTCTTTAGATTTCTTCCTGATTCACTTTATAGAAGATTGTATATTTCTAGGAATTTATCCATTTTTCTTGGTTGTTCAATTTGCTGGCATATGATTTATGTAGTAGTCTCTTATAATCCTTTGTCTTTCTGTGGTGTCAGTTATTCTCTTTCATTTCTGATTTTACTTTGAGTCCTCTTTCTCTTGATGAGTCTGGATAAAGGTTTATCAATTGTGTTTACCTTTCCAAAGACCAACTCTTGGTTTCTTTGATCTTTTCTATTTTTATTTTTATACTCTTATTTCATTTATTTTTGCTCTGCTCTTCATTATTTTCCTTCCTTCTATTAACAAGAGGCTTTGTTTTTTTTTTATGGTTTCTTTAGGAGTAAGCAGATACAAAATATAAGAGAAAAACAAAACTACTCATTTTATCTGGAATTTTAACTATGAGGTGTCACAAGTAATTATGTAAAATTCTTCCTTTCAGCATATACTAGTTTATAAGATGAAACATAATATCTGTAATAAATTAAAAATATTTTAAAATGAAGAAGCTAGAACAAACTGTCCTAAAATTTGTATGGAACCACAAAAGACCCCAAATAGCCAAAGTAATATTGAAGGAGAAAACCAAAATGGGAGGCATCACCATCCCAGACTTTAGCCTCTACTACAAAGCTGTCATCAAGACAGTATGGTATTGGCATAAAAACAGACACATAGACGAATGGAATATAATAGGGAACTCAGAATTGGACCCACAAACATATGACCAACTAATCTTTGACAAAGTGGTAAAGAGTATCCAATGGAAAAAAAAAAACCAGACTCTTTAATAGATGGTGCTGGGAGAACTGGACAGCAACATGCATGAAACTAGACCACTTTCTTACACCATACACAAAAATAAACTCAAAATGGATGAAAGACCTGAATGTGAGACAGGAAACCATCAAAACCCTAGAGGAGAAAGCAGGAAACAACCTTCTTGACCTCAACCACAGCAATTTCTTACTCAACACATCCCCAAAGGCAAGGGAATCAAGAGCAAAAATGAACTATTGGGACCTCATCAAGATAAAAAGCTCCTACACGGCAAGGGAAACAATCAGTAAAACTAACATGCAACTGACGGAATGGGAAAAGATAGTTGCAAATGACATATCAGATAAAGGGCTAGTATCCAAAATCTGTAAGGAACGCACCAAACTCCACACCAGAAAAACAAATAATCCAGTGAAGAAATGGGCAGAAGACATGAACAGAAACTTCTCCAAAGAGGACATCCAGATGGCCAACAGACACATGAAACGATGCTCAGCATCCCTCCTCATCAGGGAAAAACAAATCAAAACAACACTGAGATACCACCTCACGCCAGTCAGAGGGGCTAAAATGCACAAATCAGGAGACTCTAAATGCTGGCAAGGAAGTGGAGAAACAGGCACCCTCCTACACTGTTGGTGAGAATGTAAACTGGTGCAGTCCCTCTGGAAAACAGTGTGGAGGTTCCTCAAAAAAATTAACACTAGAACTCCTCTATGACCCAGCAATAGCACTGCTAGGAATTTACCAAAGGGATACAGGAGCACTGATGCGTAGGGGCACATGTCCCCCAATGTTCACTGCAGCACTGTCAACAATAGCCAAATCATGGAAAGAGCCTAAGTGTCCATCAACGGACGAATGGATCAAGAAGATGTAGTTTATCTATACCATGGAATACTACATGGCAATGAAAAAGAATGAAATCTGACCATGTGTAGCAACGTGGATGGAACTTGAGGGTGTTATGCTTAAGGAAATAAGTCAGGCAGAGAAGGACAGATACCATATGGTTTCACGTATAGGTGGATTAGGAGAAACTTAACGGAGGACCATGGGGAAGAAGAAGGGGAAAAATAGTTGGGAAGAGGGACGGAGGCAAACCATGAGAGACTCTTGAATGCTGAGAACAACCTGAGGGCTGCTGGGGGTGGGGGAGAGGGGAATGGGGGTGATGGGCATGGAGGAGGGCACTTGTGGGGATGAGCACTGGGTGTTATATGAAAACCAGCTTGATAGTAAACCATGAAGGGAAAAAAATTTAAAAACAGGATTCTAGTCTTTCAAAAATAAAAAATGAAGGAGTATCTGCATAACAAAGTATCATAGAGGCTCATTTTATAGACTTTGTGCATTCATCAGCAGACATAACTTTACTTCATTTCTAAAGTCCATAAAGTTACACCACTTAAATACTCTCTTTTTTTTCATTATTTCTTCAGTATTTCTTTTCACTTGGAACTTTGCATCCTATTATGTAATTTTTCTCATTTTCCTAATGATCTAAGATTCGTGTTTCTAAAGCATTTGAAGTGCTTGGTAATCATTTCTCCCATCAACTCCATGAAACTGCACTCTCCAATTTTTTCTTTATGTTTATTCTTTCCTCTCACAGGTTCTTCATGTTTTAGCCCGACACCCCTGGAATTTCCAAGGCTCAGTTCTTGGTCCAGTGCTCTTAACTTTCTATATTTACATCCTCAGAGAGCAGATCCATTTTTAGAGGCTTAAGTAGTACCACAAACATAAGAAAAGTGAATTTCTTATACTTTCTCTAGTTTGGTGCCTCTCCAGAGATTAGAGGTTTTGCCAATTTGGAATCAACTGTTTCCAAAAAATAGAACACATCTTTTCCTTTATGGTAGCATCCATTTTCAGCTACCCTCTCATTGTGGTCAAATCAACATCTTAGGCCTCTAGTAACCCTGAGCACCCTTCTCCCCATTACTCCCTTTAAGAATTTTGGTCAAACAGGGGCGCCTGGGTGGCTTAGTCGGTTAGGCGTCCGACTTTCGCTTGGGTCATGATCTCGCGGTTCGTGGGTTCGAGCCCCGCGTCGGGCTCTGTGCTGACTGCCAGCTCAGAGCCTGGAGCCTGTTTCAGTCTGTGACTCCCTCTCTCTCTGACCCTCCCCTGCTCACGCTGTCTCTCTCTCTCCTAGAAATAAATAAAAAAAAAAAAAAAAGAATTTTGGTCAAACAAACTATAAAACATGTGGCCCTTAATTGAAATGCATTTTACATGCAAGTGATTATTATTACAATTTGCTAGAAAATTCTCCTGATGAAACAGGTGTCAGTTGAAAATATGTTGGTTTTTCTCTCTCCTGTTCACACTGTTATGTAATTAGGAACCTATTCAGTTTCTTTTTAATTCTGTGCATTTCTATAGCACACATTTCTTATTTGGTAGACTAAATCTATAGTATAATATGACCACTAGGAAAAACAAAGAATTTAAAAATATTGTCTCCTTGTTTTTTTAAAAAATGCATACATATCAAAGGTTTTATGTAACTTATTAAGAGAACCAAGTCGATGCTACAGCAGGATCAGAAGATCTTCATGTATTTTTATTTGTAACACGCTGATCTTTGGGAAAATGGATTTTCTTTTTTAGAGAACAATACTCATTTATTTGTATAAATTCTATTATTATGTGGTTTCTTACCTTTCCTAGAAATACTTTCTTAGGAAAAAAAATGCACTTGTGTATCTCAGGTTGAACTGTTTTGTAATGAGGTCTTAACTAACTTAAGAAAGAAAATCAGATGAAACTAGTTATACAGTTTTTCTTAACTAAATGTTTACTTTATTCCAAAAAGTATTTAGTAAGCACTGTTTACTACTGGTGGTATTACAAGATTATGAGAGCTTACAGTTTCATTGGAGAGATTCTAATACCTAAGAATTTACACATACACACACACACACACACACACACACACACACACACACATCCTGTGATAAGAACACTGGAGATAATACACATCTATAGAGGCCAGAGTAGACAAAATAATTTACTAGAGAAAGGACTTAACTAGAGTTATATCACTGGGAAGAGGTAGTTAGGTAGGTAAATAATTTACTTGGTGTTCATTCGTCAGATTCTTACTATAGGCAGGGAACTGTGATGGGTTCTGGCCTGGGAATGGAGATGAGTATAAAATAGATTTGTACATGTTTTTGCCCTTTAAAATGAGCCTATCCTGTGGTTGACGAAAGTATAAAATTGCTAAGTAGAAGTAGATGATGATGTATAAACATTTTTAAAATAAGCATTATTAGAAGTTCAAAAAGGGATAAATTGTTATCAACTGGTACAGTTAAAGTTAAGCTTTTGTTGAAAAAGTGGGCTAAAAGCTAAATTTTGGAAGAGGAGTCATATCTGGATGAAGAATATGGAAGATGAAGTTTTATATTTTTAATGAAACAGTATCTTTATTCCTTAGTTTTAAATTTAGACAAAACAGTATTTCTTAACTCTATTAATGGAATATAGGAAACTTAGGTGTTTAGTCAGAGATTTGCCCCTAATAAGCTATGCAATCCTGGACAGTCAAGACTTTTAGGATAAGATCTTAAAACTTCCCAGCCACTTGTTTCTCTGTCGAGGTTAACCTCTCAGCACTGATATCTTCAGCTATCAAATGGAAATAGTTGTAAACTGGGAATGATAATTATTTCCTTAATTTCAGTGTTATTATGAAATGATATTCTGTCATATAAACTAAAGGTATCCTTATAATTATTTTTCAGATGACTGAACAAGGCTAGCATATACAAATTTAAAACCCATTGTATACTAAAACTTTTACTATTATTTGTAGATTGAAAACTGTAACTATGCAGTGGAGCTTGGGAAGAATAAAGCTAAATTCTCCTTGGTTGGCATTGCTGGTCAGGACCTGAATGAAGGGAATTCAACACTTACTCTGGCATTGGTATGGCAGCTGATGCGAAGGTAAACGCTGATATGTTTACAGCAACACTGTTTCCTTCAACAAATCATATGAACTAGAATTTTAGCTATTTTGGAGGAATAACAAACAGGGGCGCCTGGGTGGCTTAGTCAGTTAAGCAGCTGATACCTGATTTCAGCTCAGGTCATGATCTCCTGGTTCATGAGATTGAGCCCTGCACTGGGCTCCATGCTAACAGCTTGGAGCCTGCTTGGGGATTCTCTGTCTACCTCTCTCTCTACCCCTCTCCCCTTACACACGTGTACATGGTCTCTTTCTCTCTCTCTCTCAAAAATAAATAAATAAACATTTTAAAATAGAGTAACAAGAAATATACAATGCAAAATATTTTTAAATGACTTAACTGTTAATAATGTATTTAGTTTAAAAGTGGGTCAAACTAGGGGCGCCTGGGTGGCTCAGTCCATTAAGCATCCAGCTTCAGCTTAGGTCATGATCTCACAGTTTGTGTGTTTGAGCCTGGCATCAGTCTCTGAGCTGACAGTTCAGAGCCTGGAGCCTGCTTTGGTTTCTGTTTCTCCTTCTCTCTTGGACCCTCCTCCACTCACACTCTGTCTCTCTCTCTCTCTCTAAAAAATAAATAAACATTAAATTAAATTTAATTAACTAAAAAATTAAAATTTAAAAATGGGTCAATCTCTAAAACTAACCACTTTTATTAATGCCTCTTAAGAACTGCTTTGTAAGGAGTTGTTTTTATAAAATACCATATAGTAGTATGGTTTCTGTTTCTGATTACCAAGCTTTGTAACGTTAGAATGTGACTAAGTGTAAATACCAGAGTGAAACTAGAAATATTTACTAGAACCAAATTTTTTTTATAATATTTATCTAAATATTGATGTAAATGATATGAGAGCAAATTTCACTTCTTTTCTGTCCTCTTTCATTCTCAAATATACATCTTTTCTGTTACAGGTACACACTGAATGTGTTATCAGATCTTGGAGAGGGTGAAAAAGTAAATGATGAAATTATTATTAAATGGGTCAATCAGACGCTTAAAAGTGCAAAAAAACCCACTTCTATTTCCAGCTTCAAGGTAATCAAAAGCTATTTAAAATTCTGTTTTTGTAAATAATTAAGTTTAGAAAGGAATTTTTATTACAAATTACATTGGTTTAGATTCAGAATTACATTAACATTATATCTCAGAAACACAATTTATGAACTTAGGCATTCTCGTTATTTGGCATGTGTAAAGGAAAAATATAGTTTGAAATCTTGTATTTTTGATTGGTTGTCCTATTGACTATAAATGCAGATTAATATTATCAGACTCTGGTCATCTAATCTTAAAAAACTAGAATAGAATCAAAAAACCCAATTGTCAAAAAGTAAAAAAAAACGTCGTTTATATAGGACCTATAATGTTTTGTGCTCCCTAGCAGCAGTCTCAGAATTGTATTGACATCATTTCCAAGGCATAACAGAGCCAATCAAACTGATTCAAGTGGGAATTGAGAAAACTGGTAGGAAAAAAAATACCTTGTCATCTGGCTTCATAATGGCACTTAACACTCACTTCTGAGCATTTGTGGATGATTCATAAAGCACTCAAAATGTAATCTGTAGATACATACCCACTAATTTTCATGCATTTCCATTGTGTTTTGCTTTTGCATGCAAGATGATGTTAGCTACAAATAAGCATTTCTGCTTGTACACATTCATTCAGTGAGCCTTGTCTTTGTGATTTTATTATGATATATGAAAACTCAGCAAATTTTTCTTAGTAAGAGTGCAAACAGATAAAACCCTAAGCTCTCCTAAGAGTTATCTATCCATCTTTATCTTTTCCTTTGGCTTTGTTCTATAAGCTTAACATTTTAGAGCAGAAAAAATTTCAGAAATTGATAAATTCAATCTTTACTAAATACTGAGCCCCAAAGTGATTTTAACAAAACAGCTGGAATAAGTCAGAGATGTTACCTGAGTCCTAGATCATGTGTGTTTCTCTTTTTGCCATCTTGGAAGAAACTAATGACTTTGAGTTTTTGTTGTTGGTTATTTAAGAAAAAACAACAAGAATTTTCAGCCCATGATTTGTTTTTATATAGTTTAGGTGTAAAACACAACTTAAAAATGTAAAACAGGAAGGGGGACATATGAAATTCTCTGATAGTTATTAAAGTAGTTGTAATGAAATTTTACATATTTGTACATTAGTTGATGAAAAATAAGCATGCACATAATTAAATCAAATACAATAAGAAAATATTTAGCAACATATTTATTAAGCTTTTACTATTAAGTAACATTTATAGGTAAAGAAAAAGATACAGAATGTAAGAAATTAATTTTTCCCTCATAGTGTTTACCATTTATTTGAAGAACAAAATTTTCATAACTGGAATTTTCATAACAAGCTAGAAGAGGGTCCATCTTGAATAAAGGCAAGTCGAAGGCTAAGAGAAATAGTTCGGCTAGAGAAGATGGTTCCTAAGGGTGTAGTGCTAGATATAGTCTGAGTCAGGATTGTGGTAGAATCTGGCCTTAATAAAAGTGTAAGAAAGGACTAAAGTAAGAAGGACTAATGTGAGAAAAGTGATTATTTTAGGAATACTTTTCTGAATGTGTTGGGCAGGATGTATTAGAGGAAGAAGGGCATAAATGCGAGGACAATGCCCAAGAAGCTTAGGCAGAACTCAAGCTGTGAAATGATAAAGGTCTGAATGGAGTCGAGGGTAGGTGCTGGGAATGTTAAGAATAGATAGTTATTTGCTATTGTAAAAGAACAGGTAGGGTTTGGCTTCTTGATTTAGGGAAGGAGAGAGAGGAGTTAAACCTTGGACGTTTTTAGCCTGGGTAATTGAAAAACAGGTAACACTAACAAATGGGCATGTCAGGAAGTGCAGTTATTTTCAGGAAAATGTGATTAGTTCAATTTTAAGCTTGTTGAATTTGAATTAATGTTCAGGAAATGAGCTGGTGAAAGGAACTGTTAAAACTAGGAATACAGACTTGGTGATCAGTTGAATAGAAAAGATAGTTGAAAAATAAGAGTACACAGATCCTTCAAGGGAGAGAGCTCACAGAGAAAAGCAAACTTGAGAGATGTACTTAGATCCAAGGTAACAGAAACATGATGCAAATGTGCTTGGCATTTATTTAGTAGATGCTCAATATTAAAATGTTTAAAGAGTATATAGTTAAGAAATGTGGCAGCAAATGCTAAAATATAGTTGGTATGGGGAGGCTTTTTTTTCCAACTGTAGAAGACATTATATTTGAAGGCTACCATAAATGGTACTAGTAAGAATCTATTAATTATAATCAAGGCTTTGCTATACTGAGAAATTTTAGAAAAGAAATTTACCCTTTTCAGTTGCAAAGTAGTTTTTCCCTCAGCAGGAAGATAAGGAAGTGTACGAGCACTGAGTAATATATGGAATTCTTATATCAGTATATTGCACACTGAAATTAATATAACACTGTGTTAAACTACACTGGAATTAAAACACAATTAAAAGAAGATAAGTAAGTGGTATATCAGTCATAATAATAATTGTAATTACCATTGAGTGCTCTGTGTCACCATGCTAAGCACTTTACCCAGTTTCTTTTAATTCTCTCAATAATTCTATAACCAAAAAGGAGAGCATTAGAAAAGTTAAACAACTTGCCCACAGTCATACAATTATTGAGAATAGCTGGATTTCGTTTCCAGATCTAACTGTAGGTTGAAAGCTCACCTATATGGACTTATATGACCCTGGATTTGACTTCAGCTCAGACACTTACTAGTTATGTGACATACTGCTCATTCGTCTCATAAATATTCAAAGCTTAGCCTGTATCAGGTGCTTTGTTAGTCACTGTGACTACATAATGCCCTCAAAGTGCTCACTGTTCAGTAAAGAAAGCAGATAAGAAAACAGGAATCACTATGTGGGGTATCAGCAATACTACAAAAATCAGGTGAGTTAGGAGCACATGAGAAGGGCATGTGTTTTCTAAAAACCTTAGTAGTTTTACTAACAGCTGGACTACACCTCTTGATGAATAAAATTGAATTTATTTCTGGCTCACCATTCAGTGTCGGTGTGACCTTGGGCAAGTTATTAATTTCTCTATGCCTCAGTTTCCCCATATTTAAATGGAGATATTAATAATACCTATCTTCTGAGTTTGTTGTCAGACTAAATAAGTTAAGAAATATAAAGAGCTTGATAGTACCTGGTACATATTAAGGGTCAGTAAAAGGGGCTTACTACACTACTGGTATGGCAATATATAAAGGGCATCATATGTGGAGAGGTTCCTGTTGAGTTATTTAGAGAACTCTGGCTGCCACATCACTGTGTTTTCACTTCTATTTTCAATAATGACAGAAAGAACAATGGCATGGAATGTTCTAATAGTAATGCATATTAAGAGAAAGGGATGATATAATTCATTATCTTGAAAATCAAACCAAATTCTAGGCTGTCTTTGAGAGTCTAGACATTTTTGCTTACGTAATTTATTTATAATTAACTTAAGAAAAGATGATGAAAATGTACAAACTAAACTAAGGATTTTACTACAAGCCCTGCCCCCTTTGCAAAGTAAAGTGTCTTTTACTGATAATGCACAGATCAGAGGAGTTGAAAGATAGGCCTGTTTTCTTAGAAATAGGAAGATAAAGGATTCAATATAACCCTTGAAATTTAAGTCTTTCATTCAATTCAATAAAGTTTTTTCCAAAGGTAAATCTTCCCAAGGTAAAACACTGTTTCCTACATCTAAGTGAAGAAATGTTTAAAATACCACAAAATGTCATATACTTTCAGCTATGAGTAAAGCCTGAGGATCTTATGTATTACATGGTGACTATAGTTAACACTATACAGCATAATTGAAATTTGCTAGGAGAATAGAACTTATATGTTTTTACCAAAAAATACACACACTCACACACACACACACACGTAGGTGATGGATGTGTTAATACATTAGATGGGAGCAATCCTTTCACAACATATAGGTGTATCAAATATTCAGGATGTACATTTTAAGTTCCTTACAATTTTATTTGTCAATTATACTTCAATGAAGTTGAAAAAGCAAAACAAATGAACAAAATAAATTTTCCCAATCTTAAAAAAAACACAAATATGTAAATAAGTAATCAGAATATAGCATGGTTAAGCCAATTGTCTGTTTTTGAATCATCATAGAAATATATGAAAAGGAAGTACACAGAGATTTAAAATTGTAGAATGACATAAATGTTAAGTTTAATTTTAGAAAGAATAGTGGTGTACATTAGAGTCATCTAGAAATCTTAAGGAAAAAAAGTAGATTCCTAGCCCCCATCCACAGATAACCTGACTCATAAATTTGGGCATGGGGTAAATTTGTGCTTTTAACAAGCAAGTCAGGTGGTTTTCATGTAGGTGGTCTGCAGACTACACATTGAGAAAAAAAATAGGAAAAATTTTCAGAAATAAGGAAGATGCCAAAAAAAAAAACCAGATCCAGATTACCAGCATCCAATAGACTTAAGGATCCTAATTATTATCCGATAGACTTAAGGATTCCTCTACTTCTACTCTACCCCCCTCCACTGAAAAAATCTGTTTCACAAAACAGAACATTCCTGAAGGTAAAGAATATAAATTTTTCTAAAATTAATAAATGTAGTGGCCTATAGGTCATGGCCCAAAAAATTAGCCTTCTTCACATGGCTTCAAATTGTTTTTTCAAAAAATGTATTAATCTGGCTAGGAACTATAGTAGATGCTTTCACTTATATTAATATTCCCACAAATCCTGTGACATTCTTATGGCAGCGATTAGCCTGCTGCCTAGCAAATACCTAGCAAGCAAGGGTGCTGGCTTTCAGCTTCAGGTGACAGAAATCCAGTTTAAAGTGGTTTAAACCAAAAGGAAAGGTACAGAGTAGCAGAAATCCAGAGGTATGGTAGATTGATTTCAGGGTTGGTTGAACCAGTAATTGAAGAATGTCATTCAGGACTGAGGTTTTTGTCCATCTTTGCTTTGCCATTTACAGTGCCAGTTTCACCCAAAGCTGGTTTTCCTCTTGGTTATAGGATAGCTGCTGGTTGTGACACAGGTTTCATCTTCTCATTCACATCCAGGAGGAGGGTTGCTGGTTTTCCATAGCTCTTACAGAAAATAGCAAAGGCCTCACATTAAATTAAATTAGGCCCAAATTAAATCACTGTGCTAATAAAACGAGATTACTCTATTTGGTTCAGACTAGTGTTTTTGTTCATCTAAGGAGTCTTTTTAGACATTTGCTTCCTAAATGCTCCTCCCCATGAAATTTTAATGCAATAGATATTACTGTATGTTTCTGAACTGTATGCTTTATACATAAAAAAGAATAAGTTTATTACCCTAACCCCAGAATGCATGGCCTAGACTAATTCAGGAGTTGTAGATTGGGTCAGCTTTTCTTGAAGCACATGTCCATGTGAGGGAGGTATGGATACAGAGCAAAAATGTGGGTTCTGTTAGGATGGAGAAAGTAGTAAGGAATGAGTAAATTCTGGGTAAGCAAGCAACAGTGGTCACTATTCAAGCTGAGACACAGAACAAGTAATTTTTTTTCATGTACTGGTAAGTGATAAAATCAATTCAGACCAGGATTTCGGACTTGAACTGCATCGTTCTATCCACTAGAATTTAGTTGTTCATTTTTAGTTCACCTTGGAGGTAACTTCAAAAATGGAGAGAATCTTGGGCATTAGAGTCAGACAGTCATGGGTTCAGTTACTGGTTTTGTACTAATGGTTGTGTAAACAAGTCACTTGAGATCTATGAAGTACATTTAGTTCCTCTTTAAGAGAGATTATAATTTCTTTATTACCAGGCTGTTAGGAGAATTAAATAAGCTAAACATGTAAAGCAACAAGAATAATGCCTTTGTAAATGTTAGTTCCTTTCCACGATTATTTTCATTTTTCTTTCTGAAAAATTTTAAGTAAAGGCTTAAGAATTCAATGGTCTAAGTCATTTATATTACTAGAACTTGCAAAATTATTAATTTAAAATTCATCTCCTATTCCCTTTCAAAAGTTGCTTATTTTTTTTTAATTTTTTTTTAATGTTTTATTTATTTCTAGGAGAGAGAGAGACAGCATGAGCAGGGGAGGGCCAGAGAGAGAGGGAGTCACAGACTGAAACAGGCTCCAGGCTCTGAGCTGGCAGTGAGCACAGAGCCCGACGCGGGGCTCGAACCCACGAACCGCGAGATCATGACCTAAGCGAAAGTCGGACGCTTAACCGACTAAGCCACCCAGGCGCCCCAAAAAGTTCCTTATTTTTTACAGAATGGATACTATAATTAGCATACTTTAGGAATTGTCATATCTGCAAGCCTTATTTGGATATGGTGACAACTCTACATTGTAAGCTCTGTAAGGACTGAAGGAAAAGCATATTTTAGATGGTTTATGATGTGTGTTGTTTGCAGAAAAGCTAAATGTTCAGTATAAAGAAAATTTGTAAGTTGATCTCAGTTATATGGTTATGACCTGGTCTGCTATTTATGAAAATTAAAAGTAAGATGTTTATGAATGTTCATCAATTCTTTATTTTCTAGGACAAATCTATTAGTACAAGTTTACCTGTCCTAGACTTAATAGATGCCATTGCCCCAAATGCAGTTCGTCAAGAAATGATCAAGAGAGAAGACTTATCTGAAGAGGACAAGCTAAACAATGCTAAGTAAGCCTTTTATGGTTGGTTGGTTGGCTTGTTTGTTTACTTATTTATTTAGTTAGTTTGAGAGAGAGAGAAAGAACGGGGGAGAGGGACAGAGGCAAAGGGAGAGAGAGAATCCCAAGCAGGTGCCACGCTCAGCATGGACCCTGATGTGGGGCTTGATCCCATGACCCTGGGATTGAGACCTGAGCCAAAACCAAGATTTGGATGCTCAACCAACTGAGCCACCCAGTCACCCTACCCTTTATGGTTTAACACAGTGGCTTTTTAATTTCTTAAGTCCTTACAGGTAAGGTTACTATGTCTTTATAATATTTTTAAGTACAACTTAAATGGGGAATATGATTTAAAACTTTCAAACTTTTCTTGTAAAGTTAATCTTATCAAAATTTTCATTCTTTTATTAATATATATTAAGTGAAAAAGTGAAAATATAGTAGATAACAAATACTAAGATGTTTTTCTTGTCCTTTGAAGATATGCCATTTCAGTTGCTCGAAAAATCGGTGCCCGGATATATGCCTTACCTGATGACCTCGTAGAAGTGAAACCAAAGATGGTTATGACCGTATTTGCATGCTTAATGGGAAAAGGACTGAACAGAATAAAATAATAAGAAACATTTAATATGATTTTCTGCCACATTAAACACATTGAATGCCTCACAGTTTACAGAATTCTGAATGTAGTGGGTATAAAACCAGAGATTATTTGTATGCTTAAAATAGTTGTATAATTCATTAATGAATTAACTATCTTGTTTATACTGGTTAGAATCTGTCAACCTTTTTCGGACAGCACAGTTAATTTACCAGTCAATACTGATATGTTCATTATCAAGTTGATATTTCAAAATTATTTTCATTTCCTGAAATTATTATTAAAAACAAGACTAATTCATTCTTTCATGGGTTCAAAAAGATCAATAGAAAAAAATTTTTGCAGGTCCTGCAGTGTTTTGATTTGTGTGTGTATGTGTGTGTATTAAGTTTGATCATAAATGTATTCAAAGTCATAATCCAGTTTATTTTTTTCCTCCAACTATATGTACCTTAACTTTTCCGTAAATTTCTACATTATTTCAAAAATTTAAGTGACAAGTATTGTTCATTAACATTAAACTTTTTTATATATGAGAACTAACTCTTGAAGAAACCCCAAAGTACATTTTCTTGTATAAGTAGCAGGAGCTTTTTACTTAAAACTTAATTTTAATTGTAGATACTACATATGCTTATTGGTAAAAGTACTATGACATGCAGCATATATGTTGGTAGGTTGTTATTACAGAAATATGTGTGTGTATATATGTATTTTTTGCATCTGATTTAACCAGGTTTTCTTAAATGGTATATAAAACTAGTCAGTCAGCCAACCATTAAGTGTTTATTGTGGTCCCATGATGTGTGTAACACTTGTCATTATATCTGGTACATGAAGATTTCTTTTAGAAATATTCATTTTGGATGTGCATATAGTTATTTTTCAGTTGACTTCTCCCACATACTTATAGCAAAAGATTGGCTAGAACATCTCAAGATATGTTGACACTATACTGTCAGCTTCATATTACTCATGTTAGTTTTGATCTATATGAAACCCTAATTTAGAATATGCCCACTGAATATGTTTAGTAGAAAGTAACACAAAGCTAATATTCAACAGAGTATTTTCAAATGTTTTTTCCACAGCCTCCTACAAATTGGCAGTGTTTGGTTACTGCTTGTGTTACTTGGGAACAGCTAACCTTCAGACCTATTTTTGTATGAATTTTTAGCAGCAGACAGATTCTGCTGCTAAAAAATGAATTCAGAAATCTATCTCCTCCATCTTCCACTGTTAGTGCAAGTGAGCAATACTGCTTTGCAACAAAAATGCTGTCACTTTGTCTCAGTGTGAATGAGTAGTCTAAATCCCCCTTCTACCACTGATTAAAACATACATGTTGGTAAGAGTGAGACTACTCACATGTTTAGAATAGAATTTTTAAAATGAAATCAAAGGTAGAACTTTGAAATATATTCTTCTACAAAAGAGATTTTCTTTCCTTTTGTAGTTTGATGATTGTTTTCTTATATGAAGATTAAGATATGTTCTTGCTCTAAGAGATTATTGTTTTACCTTTTGATTTTTTTCACCATTATATTTACTAAGTTATCTAATTTAAATAAAAATTGGCACTTTAGAGTGTTTCTTTTTCTCACAAAATAATAAAAATTCTGTGTATATATAAATGTGTCAGTGTTTATTTCATTTAAAGAATATACAACCTTGAAAATTAATCTATCATAAGTTTATTTTTCAGAAAAGAAAATAATTTTAATTAGTAAAACAAAATTTTTATCAGATTTTTTTTGGGGGAATGAAGTTGGTTCTCTGGTTCTTTAATATGAAGAATTTTAGTAAAGACCAATTGCATTATTACTACAATTTAGTTTGTATTGAAATAATTTGATGTAATCAGTCCATTAATATACATTTGTTATGATTCAGATAAAATGCTAGAAATATGGGACTTCAGCTGAGAAAAATATAGACAAGAGTTTCCTGACTTCATAAATCTTACATCCCAGTGGAAAGAGATAATAAATAGGAATTTTAGATAGTGATAAAATGCAGTAGGGGAAATAAGACAGCAATGTGATAGAGACTGACTTGGGAAGTGAGGTGAAGACTTTAGTTTGGGTGCTCAGGAATGGTCTCTCTAAGGATGTGATATTCAGACTGAAATATGAATGATGAGATAGGTGATACATGTTCAGCAGAAGGAACAAATACAAAGGCTTTGAGCCAGGAAAAGTCATAGGCATTTTAGGAAAAGAAACTGGCAAATATAGCCCAAGAGTAGTGACAGAGAGGCACAGAGTTTGGAGATGTAGATAGGATCTGTTCTATTTTTTATTTTTATTTTTTTACCATGTATTTATTTTTGAGACAGAGAGAGACAGAGCACGAGCTGGGGAGGGGCAGAGAGACAGGGAGACACAGAATCTGAAACAGGCTCCAGGCTCTGAGCTGTCAGCACAGAGCTTGATGCAGGGCTCGAACCCATGGACCGTGAGATCATGACCTGAGCCGAAGTCAGACACTTAACCGACTGAGCCACCCAGGTGCCTCAGATCTGTTCTACTTTTAAGATCAACTCTGAATCTGGATTTTTGTATTTTCCAACTGAAGTTGTTGGCTCTTCTCTTTTGTACCTGCAGGCTGGTGAATTGCTTTAAGTAATGTGCTGAGTTTTACATGTCATTGTTCCTCATAACTGTCATTGATCTTACTATCACCGATGCACAATAAACTGATCATGTGGGGGATGTTACAATACTCCAATTTATGCTGCATAAAATATGTACCAAAGAGGCAAGAAAGAAAAATATGCTGCATCTGAGATGATTCAAAAAGACTTCTAAAGAACAGAATGCATTTGCAATACTGGTTTACTTTGAAAAAAAAATTCTCAAAAACTTTGCCTATTAGGATCATCTATGAATGTAGGTTGGAATTCCTCTGAATCTAAGAAATTAATCCAGCCCCTGTGAGAGTTCTTATAGATAAGAAATCACAAACCCAGAAGTTTGAAAAGACTTCAGGTTAAAATGTTTTTTATACTTTTGAATCAACTGAATTTTTACTCTCCAACACTATGGAACTTCTGGATGGGTCAGGGTTAGATTTGTTCTGGTACTGAGTAAAAATTTTATTAGATACGAAGACTGTAAGTACATACATAAACAAAAATTGGAAGCACTTGTATAAACCCACATATGTATTTCTGTGTTCAGTGGCCACAAATTAACACTGAAAAATTTTGATATTCCACCAAATACGCAAACAGTATAGAATGGGGGAGATTTATGACAGAGATAAGAAGAAGGTAAAAGGATTCAATAGATAATCGACTATTTTGGGGTAAGCACGTGACAATGTTTAGAAAGGTGGTCAATCTTGTTATCTACCTACGGCCTCTTAGAGAAGATTTAAATAAGACGTTGAATGAGAAGAAAGACACAGATTTAGGAAATTTGAGAATTAGTGTTGGCAAGAACAGGGATGGAGCAAATCAACCTGAATAGACTAGGAAGTATTTACCTCAAATATAAGATATTCTTAAGTAAATTTATGTACTGGCTTTAAAAAACTAAAGCACAGCGAGCACAATTTTGATTTTTGCTTAGTTGTTGTGGAAAGCAATAAGAGTTATTCAAGAGATATATTTGTAGTTTCACCTCCTAGGTTGACACTTGATCTTAGCCAAAAGGTCAACAAGGGATCACCACCTAGGTTTAAAGGTGAACGAATCTACTTTACTTTTGTAAAGCAGTTTTAAAAATATTTTTAATGTTTATTTTTGAAAGAGACAGAGGGGGAAGGAGAATGAGGGAGAGTAGCAGAGAGAGAGAGAGAGAGAGAGAGAGAGAGAGAGAGAGACATAGAATCTGAAGCAGGCTGGGCACTGTCAGCTCAAAGCCAGACTTGGGGCTCAAACCCACCAACAGTGAGATCATGATCTCATACCCGAGCGGAAGTCAGACGCTCAATGCTTAATGGACCCAGGCGCCCCTCCCTCCCCCAAATCTGCTTTAAATAAGTTTGCTTTAAAAATAATTATTCAAGTAGGTAGTACTTACTGCATTTCAGTTTGTTTCTGCTCAACACATTATTTTTTAAAATCAAATTTATAAATGTGAAGATAAACCTCTGGAAGGGCTATAATTAGGGTAGATCTTAAAAATGTGCTTATCCGATGGTTATGTGTTGGTACACTTGAATTACATGTAAATAAAGGTATACCATCAGGAATGTTATGCCAATTTTATTATTATTTTTTCAATGTTTTATTTCTAAGATAGAGACAGCATGAGCAGGGGAGGGTCAGAGAGAAAAAGAGAGATACAGAATCTGATACAGGCTCCAGGCTCTGAGCTAGCTGTCAGCATAGAGCCCAACAAGGGGCTCGAACCCACGAACCGTGAGATCATGACCTGAGCCTAAGTCGGAGGCTTAACCGACCGAGCCACCCAGGCGCCAGTGTTAGGCCAATTTTATATCACAAACAAGTTGTTAAAAAATAGTCTAGAAATGAATATAGCTAGCCCCAATACACTAGACAAGTCTAGTGGCATGGCCAGGCAGAGGACCCAAACACGAACTAGTTCCATGGCGGGGTTCGACTAAACGTTAAGTCGTCAACGGGTCAATTAGCCCTACCGATACGTATTTACACGCAGTAGGAGACAGCAGGGATATTACCTCAAATCAGAAACCCGGGTGTGGGGAGAACGCACTGGGTGCTTCGCCTTTTATTCAGCAATTGGAAGCCTTCCGAGGCCGCAGCTGACAGACGAGAAACGAGGGGCGGGGCGCACGCAGACCCCGCCCCCACAACAGGCCCCGCCCACCAACGAGTCAGCCCCGGTGTCGTCGCTTATAGCGGAGCGGAAGATGACGTGAGGAGAGTCGCGAACATCTCCAGGCGCAGCTGGGCCGGCGGTTCCCACATCCCGGGAGCCCGACGTGCGCAGATTCGCTCTAGGAGCTCCTTTCCCACAGAGCTCTCATCCTCCTCACGGGCCGGGCCGCCCCCAGCGCGGCCCCTGCGGCTCCTGGCACGGCCCCGCGCTCGGCTGTCGCCCTGGCGCGCGCCACTCTGTCGTCCCCGGAGGGGCGCGGACCCGCTCGGCCCGGGCGCCGGCGGCTGGGGAGGGGGCGCTGGCCCCGGGGCCGCGCATGCGCCGCCACCAATCTGGGGCTGTCCGTGGAAGGCGAGTGCTGGTTCCGAGGGGAGGCGACGCCCTTTGGGGCCAACGGCCCGCGCGCTGAGGCGGCTGTGGGAACGACTCATCCCTTTTCCAGCCCTGGGGCGGGGCTGGGGTCGGGGTCGGGGCTGGTGGGGGCCCCGCCTCCGTCTCCTGGCCTGCCCCCTTCATGGGCCGCGATGATGGCGGCCCTTTACCCGAGCACGGACCTCTCGGGCGCCTCCTCCTCCTCCCTACCTTCCTCCCCATCCTCCTCTTCGCCGCCGAACGAAGTGATGGCGCTGAAGGATGTGCGGGAGGTGAAGGAGGAGAACACCCTGAATGAGAAGCTTTTCTTGCTGGCGTGCGACAAGGGTGAGAGCTAGGCCCCTTTCTCCACGTATGGGCGCCCCTGCCCTCCACACCCTTCACCCTCTCCCCAGCCTCACCTTGGGGCACTCTTTCCTTACGCGCCGAGCGTCTGTAGCCGCCGCGCCCGTTGTTTCGCCAGGGCGGCCCAGCACCGCCTCTCAGTGTGGAGCTGGCGGGCGGGAGCAGCCCTCCGAGCGCCGCACCTGGGGCGGCGGTTCCGGCTGTGGCCTCCCTTTGTGGGTCCGGTGTTTAGGTAGCAATGTGGAGACCCAGACCCTAGGGCTTTAGCCCCCGCCTCTGCTGCTAATCCCCTGAATGACCTGTTCTCCCTCTCGGGGCTTCTGTTCTCTCTTTTTGGAAGCCCAGAGGGTTTGTCTAGTTTGGGATCTTCTCCGAAAATTCCATGACCTTGCTTAAGGATCCTCGTGTTAACCGGCTCTCAACCATACTTGTATTATTCAGCTTCAGCCACCCAGTGCCTTGGTGTTCAATGACTGTTCAGTGGCATTAGTTATGTCAGTATCCTAGGGGGAAGATAAAGACAGGCCTGGAGAAACTATTATGCCTTAGTGCCAAACTATTTTAAATTTACGGAACTTTGTTAGTGCTTTTCATTGGAGAAGAAAGTTTATTTCACCTGAGTCGTCTTCGGAAAAAAATAGTAGTGCAAAGCAATTACAGGGAGAAAATATGAAATATATCCAATGAGTTTTTTTTAAAAAGAAGAAAACCCCTTGAACTCAATCACTTTTATGGCCATAATAAAATATCTTCATTTAAGCATGCTTTCTGCTGGTACATAAAATAAAAGGAATGGGAAATTAGTCTAAGACGGCTTTTATTTACTACATGTAAGAAAGTGCTGTAATTTTTCTGAATTTTTTAAGTTGCCTTACAATGGCCATGCTAACTTAGGCACACTGTTTAGGATATTGCAAACTTCCAAAACACAAACCCAAAGGGCACCTTACACTGTGAAAAGATTAACTGTAGAGGATTTTTTTGTCTGCATGTATGAGTGTGTTTTTAATCAATCACAGCCTCTTTAACCTCTTAATACTTTTGAAATAGGATTTTATTTACACAGCTTTTTGAAAACACACTGATGTATAAACAAAGTCCACCTATGTCTGTTGTCAGACACTTTTATGTTCTTATGTAATAGTATTAAGTTATATTAGGAAAGCCTTTGATAAAAGTCCACCATGGACACAGCCTTGAACAGTCCTGGAAATGTAAAGAATCATAGAATATATGTTTATAACCTGGCGAAAAGTCATTGTGGATTATCTAAAGTTACTTAGTATTACTGAAGTGGATTATCTGAGTTCTCTTTCCTCAAAGATTCTCTGTGTTATACTAGAATGAGTAAGTGGCTGCTGCATCTCCCCCAGCTTACTGAGCTGTGGTTATTTTAAAGCAAGCAAAGTATGTCAAGAAAGGGCATTTAATATTCCTGTCAAACTGAGGACAGAAGAATGTCATATGTGGTTGGAGTAAGTACTTATATGATATGTATATTTAGGATTGTTGCATAGTATACCTCAAATTAAAGTTTTAATATGTGATAGTTTTGTAGCCTGTCAGTTGAAATAGCTTCCTATTCTTTGTCAGTTTCCCATTTTGTAAAATCATTAAGATCCTTGGAGAGGTTTGGCTTTTGGGGGTGAAAAGTAAATAAGCATGCATTTTTTTCCCCGTTCTATAAACTAAAAGAATTTTTTTAAATATGTATTTTGAGAGAGAAGGAGTGAGTGGGGGAGGAACAGAGAGAGGGAGAGAGAGAGAATCCTAAGCAGGTTTCACAATGTCAGTGCAGAGCTGGACACCAGGCTTAATCCCAGGAACTGAGATCATGACCTGAGCTAAAATTGAGAGACTGCCACTTAACCAACTGAGCCACCCATGCACTCCTAGAATTTTTTAAATGAGTGAGATTAAATAGGTATTTTCTGTTTCAGGTGTGCTGAATTTTTGGCTTAGATTTGGAAAAGTGGCTTAAGTTACATATATTTATGGCATACGTTTACATTGGAAAAATAAATTGGAGTTTTAGCAGTACTTTTTTGCTTACATGTTTGTATTCACTAATATTGTTAAACTCTTTTTAGTTTATCTGAAGGAAATTTAAAAGTGAGAAGTTTCCTGAAGCAGCTGTAGCTTCCACTATTATATTGGAGCTTTCATCAAACCAAGTGTCAAACATTTACTAAAACAGCCATTAGGATAGATTGCATATATTTTTCAAAGGTGATTTCATTTTATCCTGACAACTCCATGAGCAAATCTGTTATTATACTTAGTTTACAAATGAGGAAAATGAGGCTTAGCAAAATTTTAAAAATACTTTGCCCAAGGTTACATTACCTAGGAAGTGGTAGAATTGAGATCTATATTGAGCCTGCACGCTTAGCCACTGTTACATCAATCTAGTTGCAGCTGAATCAATGAAAATAACTTGTTAGAAAAGACATCTAAATTTGGGCTTATTAGTTGGAGACTAAATTGCTCTCTACGAATGTTTTATAAACCTTGTTTCTGTGGCTTCAATTTATCCAATAAAAGTAAAAAGCTGGGGCGCCTGGGTGGCTCAGTCGGCTAAGCGTCCGACTTTGGCTCAGGTCATGATCTCACGGTTCGTGGGTTTGAGCCCCACATCGGGCTCTGTGTTGACAACTAGCTCGGAGCCTGGGGCCTGTTTCTGATTTTATGTCTCCCTCTCGTTCTGACCCTCCCCTGCTCAAACTGTCTCTCTCTCTCTCTCTCAGAAAGAAATAAAACATTAAAAAAAAAAAAAAAGTAAAAAGTTTTAATAGCACTAGAACAAATCCACTCTAGAACATGTATATTAATCTTCCTTTTCATTCAGCAGTCCTACTCTGCATTTAAAAAATGTTTATAGTATGTTCCACTTAGGGAGAATTCCTAAAAGATGAAGTGGTCATGTGTATGTTAGTGGATGGGTGGCTTTTTGAAAGGTGTGTACAGATTAAGGAGCAAAGAAAAAAAGTAGGAAAAAAAAAGATTTTGTTTGATTTTGTAGTTTGTGTAGCTTTTATGCAAATGAGCTCAATAGATAACAGGCAAATTCTGATCTGCAGGTACTTAGTAGTGGCTGTTACTTATCTTGGAAGTAGGTCAGAATCATATATCATTGGTTCTTTTTGTAAAATTTAGAAGAAAGTCAAAGTTCTTGTACAAGTGACATCAAGTCTGTTTTCACTCCACCTCTTGTCCCTAGTAAAATTCTCAGCAAGCACACTCATTTTCTTTATAGAGATAGAATGCTACAACTCAAAGGTAAAAGATAAGTGAAACGAGGGCTGGGTATTTTTTGAAATATTAAGCAAGATTCTCGTCACCTGTCTCTTTACCCTCTCATTGAGAGTTAGTGTGGTAATGGGCCACTTTTATTTGTGGGAGCCTGTGGTTTACTCAGGCCTGCTGGCTGGAGAAAGGGTTAATTTGATTAGGGTCTTTTAACTCATGTGGAGTGGATGGTAGCTTTTAGCATGCATTCATGAGCTCAACCTATATTAATCCTTTAATTTGCTGATGATCAGTTCTTGTGCAGAAAAATGAAGTGATGAAAAGACTTAGTCTGGATTCAGTCCCTGCCAGCTTCCCATGAGGGACCTTTCTTTTAAGGAAATTCTATGTGCAATTAATGAGTCAGGATGTCTTTCTTGAAATTTCAGCATGGGAACACAGGAGGGATGGAGAGAACTGTCCTTGGCCTCAATCTAAAGTCTTGGGTCACCTTTGTAATATGATTTGCGGCATTGTGTGGGAGGGTGCCTTGATGACTGAATTCCTACATGAACTTTGCATATGTTTGGGCTAAGCATGCTTTTAAGATGGATGATATTTTTGGGAGAAGTAATACTAAGCTGCTGCATTAATAACACCTTAATATACTTAGTGGGACTTTTTTTTTCGCTATTTGATGTAAACTAAAGTTTTCTATAAACTGAAAAAGGATATAAACTAAAGTTTTATTCAGCTTGCAACATCATTGTGAATTGGGTCTGGAAAGTCATGTACCAGACTGTAATTACAAAGTAAACTTTGCTTCTTACTGTTTTTCTAATAGATTCAAGAATATACTGTTAATAATTTTTAATTTATCAATTCCTATAAAAAGTATATCACATGTGCTGTAAGTATAATTTTTTCCTACAGCAGAGTGAATCATTTTTGCCAGATGATATTCATTATCATTAATAGTCTTCATTAACAGTCATAAATGGCTAAGAAATTATAGTAATAATTTTCTTTTCTAAAAATATTCAAACATACCATATTTCTGAGTATCTTTAATTTTGAAGATTTCATTTATAACAATATTACAACACATTTGGGGGGGTCTATGATAAATACTGGGTTTTGCACATTTGGGTAAAACTACATTAAAAAAATTTTTTTTCATGTTTTTATTTCTGAGACAGCGAAAGAGAGACAGCGTGAGCAGGTGAGGGTCAGAGAGAGAGAGGGATGTACAGAATCTGAAACAGGCTTCTGTCAGCACAGAGCCTGATGCAGGGCCCTAACCCACTAACCGTGAGATAGTGACCTGAGCCAAAGTCGGACCCTTAACCGACTGAGCCACCCAGGCGCCCCAAAACTACATTTTTTTAAAAAAGTTTATTAATTTTGAGAGAGCGCGCGTGCACCTGAGCAGAAGAGGAGCAGACTGAGGGAGAGAGAATCCCAAGCAGACTCTGCACTGTCAGCACAGAGCCTGACTTGTGGCTCAAGCTCACAAACCCTGAGATCATGACTTGAGCAGAAGTCAGATGCTTAACTGACTGAGCCACCCAGGTACTCCTGGGGAACACTACATTTTTAAGTCATCTCCACTGTAGAAGTCTTGTGTGTACTTTTTTTTTTTTTTAGAATCTGGTTCGAGCTAATTTGAAGTTTGTTATAGAGTTAACATTTATATATATATATATATTTTAATATTTTTATCTATTTCTAGGGGAGAGAGAGACCGCGTAAGCAGGGGAGGGTCAGAGAGAGAGAGGGAGATACAGGCTCTGAAATAGGCTCCAGGCTCTGAGCTGGCAGTCAGCACAGAGCCAAACGCGGGGCTCAAACCTACGAACCGTGAGATCATGACCTAAGCGAAAGTCGGACGCTTAACCGACTAAGCCACCCAGGCGCCCCTCTTTCTTTCTTTTTAACGTTTATTCATTTTTGAGAAACAGGGAAAGACAGAGTATAAGTCGGGGAGGGGCAGGGAGTGAGGGAGACAGAAGATCAAAAGCAGGCTCCATGCTGAGAGCGAAGAGCCCCATGTGGGGCTCAGGCTGGCAAATCAGGAGATTGGGACCTGAGCTGAAGTTGGATGCTTAACTGACTGAGACACCCAGGCGCCCTAATAGTATTTAATTTTTTTAATTGCTCTTTAGGACTCACTACATTGCTTTTATGACTATGGTGGGTTGCAGCCTGCATTTTGGAAAACATTAGAAAGATCATAATGACTAAAAAGAGAGTTGCACAAGGTTAATTGAGAATAGTTGCAAAGCTCAGGTCCCATAGAGCTTAGTAAGCCACAATAAAGATTCTGGCATGTGTTTTAGTTGTGATGGAAAATTATAATAATCCTCAAGATTTTTTAATTGAATGATATGAATTTTAAAAAGATCAACTCTGGCTGCTGGGTGGACGGTGGATTAAAGGAGTGGGGGTAGAACATGGGCTAGAGCAGGGTGGGCAAACTGGCCCACAGGCTAAATCCTCACCACCTGTTTTTGTAAGGCCTGAAAGCTAAAAATAGTTTTTACAGTTTACATTTCAAATGATTTGGAATGAATCAAAAGAAGAAGAATATTTTATAACCTGAAAATTATATGAAATTTGAACTTTAATGTTCATAAAGTTTTATTGGAACACATTGGAGGTCATCTGTGTACATATAGTTTATAATCACTTTTCCACAGTAAGGCAGACTTGAGTATTTGCCCATAGAGCCTAAAATATTTACTCTATGGCCCTTTATAGAAAAAGCATATTGACCCTTGTATTAGAAGTGTAAGCAGCTTTATCAGTAAAGAGTCTTGTAGAGTTCAGGGAAGAGATGATAGTGGTTTGGACTGGAGTAGCAGTATGCATGAATGCAAGTGGATGAGTATGGGAACTATTTTGGAGAGGAGGCTGAGTAGGCTGGCTATTGAATTGGTATATGGGTGGAATCGATTGAAAAGTGATTCTTCCTTTATTGAAAAAAGAACCATCTAGCCAAAAAGTAAATAGATAATGTTGCATTTTCTTTTATATATTATAAAAGATAAAAAATGCATGTAATTATTAAAAGCAACTTTAATATAAAATGAAAAGTATATATTTGTCTGATAGAAAAAGCATTTAAATTACAGTCCTTTATAACTAGCCTCTTGCTATGTATTTTTTTTTTAATGTTTTTATTTATTGCTAGGAGAGAGAGAGAGAGAGAGACAGCGTGAGCAGGGGAGGGTCAGAGAGAGAGGGAGTCACAGACTGAAACAGGCTCCAGGCTCTGAGCTGGCTGTCAGCATAGAGCCTGACGCGGGGCTTGAACCGACGAACCGCGAGATCATGACCTAAGTGAAAGTCGGACGCTTAACCGACTAAGCCACCCAGGCGCCCCCTTGCTATGTATTTTAAATTTACTAACCTCTTTCTACATATACACTCATCCTAAATGTTAGGACTGTTCTTGTTTCAACAATATAGCACATTGTTTTAAATGGCTTGCAAATGTAAACTTAGGTGGAATACTTAGAAACCTTAGTTTCCTAAAGGTTCTGTGTCTCTAGCATGTCATTTTCATTTGCATGAATGTGTCAGCTGTCTCAGGGTGGAATATTTTATTATCTTTAGGGATGAAATTATTTGGTTTCAACTTTTAAGTTTCTTTTTTCTTATATAGCCCCCTGACTGTAATGAAAATTGTCTTTGAAACCTTAAAGCTAGAGTATCTGACATTTTTCAGTACAATTACTCTTTAAACAGCAATCTAAAGTTTTAAAACATGTAGCAGTTGTTCCTGTCTATTTGCTGGGAAGAATTGTATTTAATTCTTTATACTTTTCTGTCTCTGTCAAAAGGCTGACTAGATAATCTGAAAACGCTCTGCTTCAAATCACCTAGAAATGCTAGCTAAAATATAACAGACCTCCATTTAAATGAATAGCCCAGCTTTCAAGAAATTAAGGGAAACACTCAGAATCCAAAAATGAGGACAAGACTGAAAAACAGAAGAGTGTCCTTAAAGCACTATACCTGTAGCAAAGGGGTAGATGAATAAAAGAACCCATCCACCAGCACTGGGAGACTACAGAGAAGCTTCTAAGTAAGAATTTGCAGACATAGTCCTGTCTTTTATTGGCTTGGAGTTTAATATTACCTACTTGGTCCATGAAAACCTAAACTGAGAGAGAAATATGAAAAGGCTTGATAGGGTAGCAAAACCTGAGTTATCTGGAAGAAGCAAACTTAAAAAACATTGATGTGACAAGCTTTCAAACTAGGTTGCCAGGATTCCCACAGTTAAGCTACATGAAGATGAGTTGCAATGCCCAATTTAAAAATTCAGAAGACAGTCACCCCATTATTGAGAGTCAGTAGACACAACAAATAGGATTAAATCCCGAAGACCTTCTGATAATTATCACATAAAAACCATAAAATAAGTATGTTTAAAATGACTAACATCTTAAGGAAATGAAAACATAAGGAAGTAAGACAAAAGATTTGGAAAGTAACCCAGTAAAACTTAAAGAAAACAAATAGTCATTAAAAAAATGAATGGTTTAATCAGCAAAAGTAATTGAATAAGGAATAATAACTGCGATTTGGAGAAAGTATCAAGAATGCAGGGGATAGAGCAAGAAAGGAAAAATAATAAATTTTCAGAGACACAAATTGGAATGAGATGATCCGACATAATGTGTTTCTTTTATAATGTTTATTTTGGAGAGAGAGGGAGAGAGCACGTTCGTGATGAGGGGAGGGTCAGAGAGAGAGGGAGACCAAGGATCCGAAGCAGTCTCTTGCACTGTCCAGTGAACCATGAGATCATGACCTGAGCTGAAGTTGATGCTTAACCAACTGAGCCACCCATATGCCACTCCAACATAATGCTTAATAGAAGTTCCAATAGAAAAAAGAGTAATATGGAGACAGAGCAATATTTGAAGAGATAATTGCTGAAAATATTGCAGAATTAATGAAGGGCAGAAGTCCTTAGATTCAGCAAGCCTAATGAGTCCCTAGCAGGATAAATAAAAAATTAATCCTCACCTAGACACCTCATGAAACTAACGAAAATACAGAGTTTTTATGGGTAGCATTTTCCTACCACTAAGCTATTGAAATAAATTCACCTTAAATAAGGTTTTACCGTTATTTTCCAGTAACCGAAATTTTTACTGGTCTATCTGTATATTCACTATTCAACTTGTGACTAAGAGCTTCATTTTGTGAAGTTTTTGAGAAGTTTTTGCCATGGAACATTAGTATCTAAATACTAGTAGTGCATGAGAAAAATATTTCTTTTAGTGACTAGTTTTCTTATTGAGGAATCTAAGGAAATATGCCATTGAAAAACTACCATTCAACTTCTTCCAAAATGTGTGGGAACTTTAAAGTCACTGACTAAAAATAGCAAATTTATTAAAAGTTTTAACAAAAATCTGTTACTTTTATTTCTTATTCACTCATTTCAGTTTTAGGATTTTTTTCTTTTTGTATCATAAAATTACTCATTTCTTTTTTCCTTGTGGTTACCTCTCTGATCTTTTCCTGTTTATTTTTTGTACACTTTTAAGGAACAACTATATTTGCAAGTAACTAAAAATGGTTTATTCCTCATATGTCTCAAAAGTTAAATAAACAAAACCCACCTTACTTTATTTAATTAGCACTTCTATTTTTGTTTAGTCCACCTTATTATATTACTGCACTAGTTGGTCAACAGATAAATAGAATGGGCCCTTGGTGAAAATGATTACCTCCATAAATAATCTCGTTTTCCCTGTTGGGTCAGCTGTTTTGATGTGGGCTGGAGTTAGGCAGAAAATAATCTGCATGGTACAGAGAGGTCAAATTTCACTTTGAAATATTCTGACTTCAGCTTTTACCGGCATTAATTATTATTTATTTATCAATTGAACATTCCCTAGTCATGTAAACAGGTGATAAGGTGTGTGTGTGGGGGGGGGGGTGGAGAGTGAGGAGAAGAGAAGAGGAAAGGAATTTCTGGTATCCTTTCCTCTTACTATGCATACCTACTAGCATGTATACATTCACACTGCTTTTCCAAGTTTTCCCCTGTTAGTAGATCTTATTTTTAACCATTGTTTTGTGCTAGTAAATGTGTATTTGAGATGTGAAACTTAAGTCCTTTAAGCTTCTTTTGTCTTATTTTTCTAGCTTCCAGTCTGTACTTTTGGATATTCTGTGTTATTTAAAAATCTAAAAGTTTCTCTCCTTACTTGTAATCAATCAATTATGAATGTTGAACTTAACAATCTTTATTTCATACTGCACACTTAAAATTTTTCTCTTTATGTTTGCAGCTGATGTACATACTATTTTATCAGGATATAAGTTTTTCAGCAAGGAAATGTTCCCATTTTCTTTGCATATTTCCATATACAAAATTAGTTTAGGTTTAAAAAATTTTTTTAAATCAACAGGCTAAGTTTTTACAGTCATTCTTATCTAATATGTCTTGGATATTAAATTATGTTTGTATATTGTTATTTAGGTGACTATTATATGGTTAAAAAGATTTTGGAGGAAAACAGTTCAGGTGACTTGAACATAAATTGCGTAGATGTGCTTGGGAGAAATGCTGTTACCATAACTATTGAAAACGAAAACTTGGATATACTGCAGCTTCTTTTGGACTACGGTTGTCAGGTACAAGGCTAGATAATTCTATCCAGTAGCTTCTAAGTACTGTTAGATATGCCATGTTTTCTTTCTTTCTAGTTTCCTTTTACTCCCCCCCGCCCCTTTCATCCTTCTTTTGTTTTGTTTTGTTTTTTTCTTTCTTTCATCCTTTATTTGGTCTTGAGCCACTAAAAGTTTTAAAAACATACCTCAAAAAGGCCTTTTTATGAAGGTGTATTCTGACTTGACTTATTTTTTGTCTCCCAATTTTTACTTTTTCCTCCCTTATGTTTTATAACATCTGACAGAGGTAAATTATCATGACATATTAAAGATGGCTTTGTTTTTATTACTTATTACTATTTATATTATATATCTAAAAATAGTACAAATGTTCTGGAAGTGTCAGGGAAACAGATTTTTCTGTGGCCCATGTAATTTACAAACAGAAGAACAAAATGCTTCTGATTCACAATGCAATTTTTAATTTGACTTTAATTTTATCCTGTTAAATTTTATTAATTTTTCCTTTTTGTCTGAAGTTTAGTGTTTGCTTATAACAAAAGGTGAACAGATTTTTTTAACTGGAAAATCTAGACCTTTCTGTTTGTCTTCATATCAGTTCAGGTAGAAAAGCAGGCTTTCATATAAGTCTTGAAAGAATCCAGTCAAGAGATTCTGAAGGAAATATAATATTATTATTTTCCTTTTCTTTTGGGTTTGCTTATGATGGGAACACATGAATTCTTGCACTTTTTTTTTCTTTCAAATAGCATGATTGTTTGCTCTATTGTAGATTCAAATTAATGAGGCTTTTTATTTTAGTGGCATTAGGAAGCACTCACAGAAAATTTTAAAAATATATTAATTCTGTGTGCATTTTTATTGTGTGTGTGTGTGTGTGTGTGTGTATGCATTACAGTATATGGTACTTTATCTATACGTGCATATTTAGAGTAGAAAAAGAAATTGCCTTCCTAGCAATTTCAGTTATCTAGAACACCACCAAGAACTGCCAGAAAGTAATGAAGAACATCTCTGAGCAGTAGATGCCATGAATTTTTCCATTTATGAAAAAATTAATCAGTGGGGTACTGGAGCTCTCCTTCAACTTTAACAAACTTCTAATACTTAGTCTTCTAATCCATGGAGAATTAGAGAGGCAACAGAAGGGTCATGAGGGCTGCAGTGAAACAAAATGGGGCACAGTACCTATGACTCTTTAATAAAGAGGTCAAGAGCATTGCATATGTAATAATCTCTGAAGAAGTTGTATGTTAGGATGGTAATCAATGTTTATAACAATGGCACAGAATAAGTGAGGAAAAGTTAAATTATATTCAGTATCTGTTATTTTAGTAGAAAGAAGAATATAGTACTTTTGAAAACAAAATTTCCATCAAAATAGTTTAAATTTCAAAGTGAAACACTTAAAGGCATAAGCTTCAGTTACCTAGAAAATAGTTATAAAGAAAAACCTAAATGATTCTGGATAAAAGAAGTATTACAGTATAATAATCATTTTTATCTTTTTATGTACATGATCCTATGTATATAATAATTCAGTATACATGGCTTCTGATCACATTTGAACATCATAGCCAGTGTATATTGCTGTTACATTTTATAGATCAGAAAACTGAGGCTCATAGACTTTAATGAATTGCCCAAAGTTCTAAAGTAAGTGAGGGGAAAGCCGAGATTTGAATCTGATCATCTGACTGCAAATCCCATGCTCTTTCCAGTTCACTGTGTTCTGTCTCAGGTTGTCTCTGTCTTACCTATCAATCAACAGATATCCAAGGCCTTTGGTTGGGTGTGATTGTGGAAATGAATAAGTAAAACATGATGAGTTCTGTACTAAAGGATATTAAAACTAATTGGACAATGAAAGTATAGTTGACCCTTGAACAATACAAATTTGAACCGCATGGGTCCACTTATATGTAGATTTTTTACAGTGTAGTGCTGTAAATGTATTTCCCCTACCTTATGATTTTCTTAATTTCATTCTTTTTTCTAGCTTACTTTATTGTTAGAATACAGTATATAATATATATCACATGCAAAATATATATTAATTGACTATGCTATTGGCAAGACTGGTCCATGCTATTAGTAGTTGAATTTTGAGGGAGTCAAAAGTTATATGCAGGTTTTTGATTATGTGGGGGATGTGCATCTCTACCTAACCCCTGTGTTTTTCAATGGTCAACTGTGCATTTGAATTTCCAGTCAATTAAAAAATGCAGAAGTGTATTTGATAAGTACTGAGTGGTAATAATACTTGACTCTTGTGTATTATTTTGAGGTTAAAAGTCCTTTCATGTATTTTGTCTTATGTTATGCTAGTGGCTCTCACATGGACAATTTTGCTCCCCAGAGGACATTCGATAATACCTGGAGGCATTTTTGGTTTCGCAACTGGTGGATGGACCACTACTGACATGCAATAGGTGGAGGGTAGAAAGGCTGCTAAACATCCTGCAGTGAACAAGACAGCCTCCACAACAAAAAATTATCTGACCCCAAATGTCAATAATGTCTCTATTGAAAAACCATGTTTTATGCTTAAACTTTTGTGCTTTACAACATATGTTTTGGAAACATAGAAAAAAGAAAATCATTGTGTATCTGCTATCAAGGTTTCATGGAAGAGTGTCAGTTAAGCTCAACCTTCAAACATTAATAATTACCAGTATTTATGTAGTGCCATTGTGTGCCACGAACCTTAAATATATTCACTTCCTTTATCCTCACCACAGCCCTATGAGATAGGTGCTATTATTATTTCTGTATTATAGAGGAGGAAACCAACATACAAAAAGATTAAGTAACTTGCCCAAAGACAGTACAAAAATGGCAGACCTGGAATTTGAACCCAGGTTCTGGCTCCAGAGTCCATGCTTTTACCTACTATTGAAACTACTCTCAAAAATATATAGATAGCTCTGGAATAGGAGATGTGGAGAAGGACGTAAACAAAGGCACATGCAGTGTATATTTTTGAGACAATGGATAATTTAGCCTTCTGAGGAAAATATTTGGGCTGGATGGTAGTGGGAAATATCTGGAAAAATAAAAACTAATGAAAAGGGTCTGAATGCCAGGCTAAGGAATTTGGGTTTATAGATAGTGGGGTCATTAAATGATTTTTGAGAAGAGATGTGATCTGTCCAGTAGTATTTTAGGAAAACCACCCTAGTGGCTGTGTTCAGTATAGATTAAAAAATGGAAAGTGGGGAAGGCCATAGCTTGGGTGAACAGTTTTTACAGTAATCCAGATATGAAGAGGTTAAAGCCTGAACTAGAATAGTAGCTATAAGAATAGGAGAAAAAAATGGCAGATGTGAAAGATGTTATAAAGGAAGAATTGATAGAACTTACTATTTAAATGTGGAAAAGAGAATTTAAAAAGGAGTCCAGGATGATTTGGAAATGTTAAACATAGGTGGTTGGGAGAAGGATGAAAGAAAGGAAGTTAAGTCAGGCTTGGGGCAGAGAAATGTGAATTCTGGTTTTAGTCTTATTTGGAGGATTTCAGGCAGTCTTCAATACACAGTTACAGATGAAGATTACATCTCTAGGAAGAGGTCAGGCTGGAGAGAGAGAGCAGTCATGGACATGGGATGGTCACCTGCGTCATGAAAGGATGAAATTACAGAGGAGAGGGCAAACAGCTCGTGCTGATCCTTTCTCAGGGAACATCTACACTAATAGAAGGCAGTAGAAGGAAAGGGTTCCATTAAAGGAGTTTGGGATAGTGCAGCATTGTGAACACCAAAGAGTTTTAATGTGTTGCTTAGAAATCAAAGAAACTGAGGGAGTAGAAAAGGCCATTGGACTTTGAAACTGGCATCAGTAGAGTTAGAGAAAATGATATGCATGAATTTGAGAAGTTTGACAAAGTGAGAGGAAGAAGTAAAAGAAAGACAGGATCAAATCAAGTTAGCAAAGAGTGAGGAAGTATTTCATTTTTTGGGAGATGGAAGCTAGGACTGTTATTTCTGTAAGCAGAGGACCAAGTTCCTATAGAAGACAGAAGAACACTAAATAGAATACCAAACTCTATGAGATAGGTACTGTTATTCTTTTCGTATTGTAGAGGAGGAAACCAACATACAAAAAGATTAAGTAACTTTCCAGCTGTGGAAAGGAAATAAGAAGCTTCTTTGAGCTTAGAGGAAAGAGTATGGGAATTGTTGAAAAGACGTATTCTGAGATGAGAAGGAATATAGCAAGCAACTTCATTAATACATAATAAGTATACGTACTGAATACATTGTAATAAGGGAAGGATGGTCAAATATTTGTGAGAAATTGGGAAACAACTAATGAGGACATTTTGTCCTACCGATATTTTAAAAATAATTTAAAACTTTTCCCATTGAGAACTTCCTTTAATTTATCAAGTAAATACCATTTGTGCAGAATAAGTTAATGGTAACTTATTTTTTACATGACTTTTTTACACAAATAGTTTTATTCCTGAAGCTTATCCTTTTAAGCATTGAAAGATTTAACATGAATCTTTTTTTGTTCTTCACAAAATAGTGTATCTGAATATAATTTAACTTTACCATCATAAATGAGAATCATTGAGAATGTAATTGTTTTACTTTGCTGTATGTAATCTGAAAATATTAACAGGTTTCTCCTTACATTATATGGCTTCAGACTGCTCTGTATTGATAGTAATTTTGCTATATTGATAGTTTATCTTTTCAGCGGTCAATTTTTAGCAAATTTTTCTTCATTTCTTTCTACTTTCTTAGTTTTAACTTAGATGTCTCCTTATTTAGTAAAAACCTGGAGAATACTTGGGAAAGCCACTTTTCCTTCATTTATAGACAACTCTAAGTCGGCATGGTTGAGGCAATTCCTTCTGGGAAATAATGCCCATGAAGTTAGTTTGTGACAGCTCAATATAGTAATTGGATCCATGGCTATGTTTCAGATACTTGGAGTTGACTGATACTTTGACTTGAAGAGCAGTGCTATTACTATAGTTAGCTTTATAGGTTAAAATTAATCATAAATGTTTAGTAGTAACGAACATATAATTCTTTTTGTTTGCTTCACCTGACCAAGTATGGTAAAAACTGAAGAGAAATGTTTGCAAAGTAGAAGAATAATGTAGCTAGATTCAAAGAACAGGCTACAGCCCAGTGAACCCTAAAAGTTTTAAGGAATAAAATAAATTTCTCATTAGAGTGAGGAGTTTTTCCTGTGGGAATGTATAGGCAGTTCCTAATGATTGAATGTGGCCCCCAATTCTTCCTTTGGTGTCCTTAGTCCTATTTTTAGATATCCAGATAAAGTCTGTCTTTTAGTCCTATTTTTGACATCTGGAGAAAGTGGATGGAAACTTTATTCTTTTTTATTCTTTTAAGCTACAAAGAATACTAAGGAGCTAATATAGTTTCATTTTTAAGAGAGAATGTTGATAGAGATGGTTGTTAAAGACTAGAACAGTTTTTAAAGTGTACAGATTGAAAACAATCAGGTCATTTTTTTAAGATTAAAACATTATTTATCCCCATGTTTCCCTTCTCCCTTTATAGCCTTCCTTAAGACAAAACAAAACAGATTAAAAAAAAAAAAAAAAAGGAAAGAGAAAGAAACCCAGAAACCCGATGTCACAGTTGCCAAGTATCATAAGAGGACTGTGGACTTTGTTGCAGAGTGTTGGAAAGCCCCTGTTTCTCAGCTTCTGTTTACTTTTTCTTCCAGTCAAAGTTGGAGTTTCAAAATGAACCATAGTTTGGGATTAAAACTATAAAGTCACTTCTCCCTCTTGTCGCTAAGGACATTGGTGGCCTAGTTTTTTTGTGGCTTTTACTTGATAAGGCTGCTAATATCAATGTCAAATTTGTACCATTTCAGTCAGACATGTATGTTTTAAAGTTGAGAACAGAGGGCTGCCCTTATCCTCATGGTTGCATTGATGATCATTTTTATTAGACTGAACATACTGTACCAGTACTAATAGTCTTTGGCAATTTCTTTAATACATCTGGAATATTAAGCTTCTTTTGGTTCAAAGTTCAAAAGTAAAGATCTTGAAAAAATTTTCAACTTTAAATATGGCATGGACCCATTAATAAACCCTTCTCTTTAAGCATTTATTATTTCACTGATTTATGCAGTGAAACAAGGACAAATTTGTGTGTGTTGTGGTACACAAAAGTACTGCTAAGGCCAGCAAATGTACTATTTATTTGGACAGTCTAAATTTTTAAATATTTAATATTACTGTATATGATACAGTTTAAATTTAAAGAGTTTTATTTACAAATTAGTAAAAATAAATAGTTTACCTTTTTATCCTCCATTTTCATTTTTAACCTTTTTTTTTTTTTTAAAGTCCGCAGATGCACTTTTGGTGGCAATCGACTCTGAAGTAGTGGGAGCTGTTGATATACTACTTAATCATCGACCAAAACGATCATCAAGACCAACTATAGTAGTTAGTACTCTTAAATATTTATTAATTTGGATTTTTAAACCAAAATAGATCTCCTGCCCCGTTGCCATTTTTTCTTCCCCCAAATTTATTTTGTTCTAAAGAAACAGATTTTTTTTACTCTGTAAATTATTTTAAAGTAAGTAGACACTTGCAAGAATAATTAATATTGCTTTCAAGAGACCTTTTTAAAATTAGTGCTATTTCCATAATTTTTTCAGTGTGGATCAATATTTTTAGTTTTGAACATTCTATAGATTAAGTTGAAAATTCAGATTAGTTTCCAAATGGATTTAAGAATTAAATATATACAGTGAAACCATAAAACTGGAAGAAAATGTAGGTGAATATTTACGTGATTAGCAGTGGAAAGACTTTCTAAACATAAAAGCAAAGGACTAAAATCACAAAAAGCAATGGCACGGCCTTTGGCTTTATGGAAGTTAAATTTCTGAAATTCAGACATTGAAAACATTTAGAATGCACATGGATAACTGGAAAAGATATTTCCTGTATATATCACAAATTAATAATCTTAATAATTGACAAATTGATGCAAAATATCAAGATCAGAAAACATGAAAAAAATCTCAGAAAAGATTAAAACACTACCAATAAAATATGAAATACAAATTTTTGCTTATCAAATTAGTGAACATTTTTAAAAATAATGATTGATGGCAAGGGAGTAGTACAGTTGAGAGGGTATTTTAGAAAGCAATTTGGCAGAATGTTTCATAAACAAGAAAGATATTCATATTCTTTAGATTAGTGCTTCCTCCTCTAGGAACTGGTCAGAAATGTGGACAAATATGTTAACTGTGATCTTATTTGTAGCAATGAATAAACCCATATGACACAATTTAAATATCTGCAAATAAAAGATTAGAAATAGTGATAATTACACATATATTAAAATGGTATTTTTAAAAGAATATATAGTAACCTGAACAAATATGACATAGGAAGTGAAAAAAAATGATAATAATAAACTGGACATATAATATATGGTCCAAAGTTAAAAATATGCAGAAATAAGGAACTACGAAATGTAGCAAAATGTTACTTAACAACAGTCATCTCGTTGCTAAATTAAGGTTATTTTTTGTCTTACTCCGTTTATTTATTTTTTATTGCTTTTGTAATTAGGAAGATAGTCACTAATCAAATTCTACTGTAAAAGTGATATATTTGTTATATATCAAAATTTAACAATTATAACCTTCATTATTGGTGAGGAGGTAGTAAAACAAGCAGTTTAAATAATTGCTGGTAAACTGACTATACTCAGAAAAATACTGTTTTACGAAAGAATTAGAACTTGGTTGCAGATTATCTGCCATTATCTCAGAGCAATGAGCAACTCTGCTAAATTGCATACTTTATCACATATTAACTGAAATATTTTACTTTCATTTAGATATTACAAAGTTTGTGTAAGCATGACTTTCTCCAGAGGAGTGTACCAACTAGTTTAAGTTGTGGCGAGAGACCCACAGGATCAGAGAAAAAATGGCCAAGAATACAGCCCCTGTCCAAAGGGTCAGAAATATCTAGAATCCTATTCAGTTTTATGTCACCTGTCTGCAGTCATGATTACATTTTGATATACTTATTCCACTTTCTAGCACTTTAACCCCTTTACTTTCTTGGCAGGGAGTAGGGGTGTAGCTTGCCAGGGCACTGGAGCAGCTGACTGGCATTCTTTTATCAGTATTACCATTTCCAGTCGAATCTTGAGTTGTAAGGCCATGGCAGTCTTCATCTACTCAGTGAAAAACACTTTGTATTTCATCTCTAACAAAAAGGCTTATCCAGCCTTTGCTTGAGTACTTCCAGTGATGGCAAGATGACATTTTAACAACCCTAATACTTCTTGACAGGCAATGTCAAATAGATTTATATATACTTTTTAAAATCATTTCAGTGAATTCATTTTGTATTTTTGGTTTATCAAAATTGTCTTTTGATAAATTTTGACTTTGTAATACAGGTTGGGTGTGTTTTTTTGGTAACATGTAGATGATATAATGAGCAATTAAATTATGAATTTTAATCTTCTAAAAATGTTTTTCATGTTGTTAAGTATGTTTTATAGGAAAAATGAGGACATTTTTCTTTTAAGGAATTAAATACAATTTTCTTGTCTTTATAAACAGTAATAAGGAGAGAAAGGGCTAAATTTTAAGATTTCTTTCTTATTTTTAAACAAATTCATTAATTTAAAATCTCCAGTAAATAAATGGGAAGTATATAAATAAATATTCATAAAAGAAGAAAAAAGCTAAGTATGTCAAAAATATTAAAATTTTACTAGTAATAATCAAAAGAAAGTAAATTAATATTTCATGGTAGTTTTTTTCCCTCGTATGCCTAGTGCTGCCTAGCTGAAGTGTGAAATGGGTACATTCCTATATTATTGGTAATGTAAAATATGAAAAGAATTTTGATAATATATATCAAAAGCTTCAAAACTGTTCATGGCCTTTAGACCTATTATTTGACTTCAGGGGTTCTGTGGTTAATAAGTCTATCCTAAATTTAAAAAAACACTGTATTTATAGATGTTTGTGATAGTGTTATTTCAATAAACAAAATATCTTGAACATAGATCTATGAATTTTCTTAAATTGCATACTAAATTCTAAATTCACAAATTTTATTTCCCAGAAATTCTGGGCTATAGCTTTTTTGTGCTTCCCCCCACCCCCTTCAACAGAGAGCGACAGAGAGAGACAGAGAACAAATGGGGAAGCGACAAAGAGAAAGGGAGAAAGAGAGAATCTCAGGAGAGCTCTGTGCTGTCAACATGGAGCCCGATATGGGTCTCAACCCATGAATTGTGAGATCATGACCTGAAGGGAAACCAAGAGTCAGACAACTGACTGAGTCACTGTGGACCCCCTGGGCTGTAGCTTTATGAGATTATTAAAATGGTCCTTGGACTTCAAAATATTAAAGCCCATTGTTTTTAATTATTGATGCCAAATCGCTTATGCCAAAGATGTCCTTAGAAGGAGGTATAATAGAGAAAGGTCTAGAAGAGATACTGTAAAATGTTATTTTGTGTAGGAGGAATACGGGAATGTTTATTCTTTCTGCTTTTCTATATTTTTGGATATTATATAATGTGTGCATATTACTTTTATGATATTAATAAAAATTACCAGAAACTTCTGTGAACTTGATAAGCTTATACAATAGAATCAAGCAGCTCTCCGGAAAACCTGTGTGAAAAACTGAGAAGTATTGAGAAGAATATGCAATAGTCATAAAGTAATCAACCATTTTATTTAACCCTGATTCTTTATTTACTAATGTTTCTTTTTACATGTCATGCCATCACCAGGCCCATGAGCCCATGTAGTGAAAGCAGCTCAGGCTACGGTGTAATACAGACCTGAGTTCTGATCTGCATTTTGCCACTCTGTTATATAGCTTGGGCGCATTAACTTCTCTGAGCCTCAGTTTCTTCATGGGGATTATAATGCTCAATTTTGCAGGCTAACGGGATTAAATGAGGTGATAAATGTAAAGTGCCTAACAGTTTCAGGACTGACTTATTAATAGTGGTTATGATTGTTAGTGTTTTTGTGCCTTTGTAACAGTAAGTAGTATAAGAAATGATTGGGAATATGTAGAGAATTATACAAAATGAAGAGTGCTTCCTATTTACTTATCCCTTTCAGGCAGCTTCACTGCTATCAGTGTGGCAAGATTTCCTGTAGAGATGGAAGTTTTAGAATTTTTCTCATGCATTTATACTCTGCCAATTTTTAACATTTCTGTTTTTCCTTTATATTCTTTTTCTAAGATTCTTGTTCTTTATCATTGTCATGCATGTTTCCATAATCTTGTGAAAATTAAACACTTTTTTCTGAAGTATTTCTCTAAGTATCTTCACTTCTTTGTAACAAAAAGAACTCTAGTTGTATGAATGTATCCTATTGAAGATTTTTGACTGTCATGATTATATTGCATTTATTAATTAAAATTGAGTTTTCAGGTTTCAAAAAAAATTTAGTCCTGGTAACATGTTATCGTATTTCTTAAAATAATTCTTAAGTTCTTTGTGCATTCTGATTTTTTCATTTCATTTTCAGATAAATATGTTGTTTTGAAGTCATAAATAATAATTTTGGGCATTTATATAAATATTTTTCAGAAACTAATGGAGCGAATTCAGAATCCTGAGTATTCAACAACTATGGATGTTGCACCTGTCATTTTAGCTGCTCATCGTAACAACTATGAAATTCTTACAATGCTGTTAAAACAGGATGTATCTCTACCCAAGCCCCATGCAGTTGGCTGTGAATGCACATTGTGTTCTGCAAAAAACAAAAAGGACAGCCTCCGACATTCCAGGTTAGAAGGTTAAGGTTTTGATGAATAGGTGTGTGATACAGTAAAGTATATGTCAGTGAAATTTTTATTGTTTTTCCTTCTATGCATTTTTTAAGAAATATGGTACTGGAATGCGTTATGGAAGCTGATCTAGTTCTTTGCTTAGTATAAGTTTTACATTTTTAAAAAATGTTTACTAAATGATGAATAATTAGGAAAATCCTTCAAATTATGAATAAGGTTTACCTCTTACTTCTGCTAGTGGGGCTTGAAGACACTATTTCTTTTTTGAAAGCAGAGTTTATTAATCTTAGAGAATTTCTAAATAGTGGAAAGAGTGGAGATACCCCTTCTTATTTATAAGGAAATAAGTATTTTCTGACTAAATATTTAACTTATTATTCCTCTTACTTCCCCTTTCACACAATATTCAAATCTTTTTCTCTTCCCTTTCTCCCCAGGGAAAATGAACAAGAAAGTATCCCATTTTGGACAGGTTGAGCAAGATCACATACAAGGGCATGTTGTATAAGGTTCTAGGCTAGATTTGAGAATCTAATTTTCAGCATAAGCCTATATATATATATAATATATATATAGTATAATATATATGGTATAGTATATATTATATATATAGTATAGTATATATTATATATATAGTATAATATATAGTATAGTATATATTATATATAGTATAATATATATAGTATAGTATATATTATATATATAGTATAGTATATATTACATATATAGTATAATATATAGTATATTTAATACTATATATAATATATATGTACTATATATATTATATATATACTATATATATATACTATATATATGTATGCTATATATACATAGTATACTATATATTATATATATATAATCTATGTAGTAATCAAATATAGTTGAAATTATGCTGCGTATAATATTTACTATGGAAACGTGGTTGGAAGTCCTAAGAAGCCCATTGACAAGCTGTTCTTATAGTATATGAAATTAGCTTTAAAGCTGCAAACTATTCACCCTCACTCCTTCCTTACTTTAGGATTATATCTTTGGTGGATTGACAGATAGTGATAATCCATAAATTGAGAAAGTCTCCTGGGAATCAATTTAATGTTTATTTGCAAAGGTTGCACTGGAAAATATTTCTATTTTCAAGTTCATTTACAGTGAGATCTGTGTTTCTTTTGATAAGATCAGGTTGATAACTATGGCTTTTCATTTAAGTTTTTAGTTTTAAAATGACTGGTCTATAAAATGACCAACAGAAATGGTCTTTAAGACTTCTTCTAGTTTTGAAATCCTTTATTAATATTAAATATAAATATGTCCAGATTGTATGCTTGTTAAATATGTGTGTAGTTGGAGCAGCTGAGGGTAGAGGAGGTGGACCTGGAGAGAACACTCAACCTGGCTTCATTTGAGGTGGGGAAAAGGCTTTGTTCTGAAATCTTTTAGAGAAAGAAAAGAGAAAGGCAAACCATAAAACAGACTCTTAACTATAGAGAACAAACTGAGGGTTGCTGGAGAGGAGGTAGGCGGGGTGGGGATGGGTTAAATGGGAGATGGGTATTAAGGAGGATGCTTGCAATGAGCACTGGGTGTTATATATATGTGATGAATCCCTAAATTCTACTCCTGAAACTAATATTACACTATATGTTAACTAACTGGAATTTAAATAAAAACTTGCAATAAAACAAAATAAAATAAAGTAAAATGAAATAAAATTAGGTAATTTAAGTCTTTCATCTTTTATGTTTTTGGGTTTTTAAAAAATTTTTGGTTATAGTGTGTCCTTTGCATTTGCAGACAAAGCTTAGAATGAATTATCAATTTTTACAAAAATACTTACTTGAATTGCTAGTATATAAAAATAAAGCAGATTTTTTTGTATACTAGTTTTGTATCTTGTCATCTCGCTAAAATCACTTCTTAGTCCTAATAGGATTTTTTGTTTCTTTGCTGGCTTTTTAGATTCCTAAGGATTTTTTTACATATAAGATTATATCATCTGTAAATAGAGACAGTTTTACTTCTTTTCCACTTTTTAGGCCTTCATTTTTCTTGCTTTATTATACTGGCTAGAACCTCCAGTATCCTGTTAAATGTAGTTAGTAAGAGTGAATATTCTTGCTTTGTTCTGGACTTTCTATCTGCAAAAGAATTCAGTCTTTTGACATTAAGTATAATGTTAGCTTTAAGCTAACTTAAAGCTTTAAGTATAATGTTAGTAAGTTTTTCATTGATTTTCTTTATCAGAATGAGTAAATTCCTTTATGTTTCTAGTTTTTGAGGATTTTTTAAAAATCATTCATTGATTTGGGATTTTTGCCAAATGTTTTTCTTCCATCTCTTAAGATGCTCATATGGTATTTGTTCTTTATTCTATTAATATGTTTATTATATTCATTTATGTTTGGATGTCAAATTAACCTTGCATTCCTGGGATAAACTCCATGTGGTTGTGATATATAATCCACCTTAGGTGTTAACGAATTCATTGTGCTAATATGTTAAGTATTTTTGTGTGTATGTTCATGAGGGATAGTATTCTATAGCTTCCTTTTCCTATGATGTCTTTGTCTTGCTTTGATATCAGTATGACACTGATCTCATAAAATAAGTTTTGAATATGTCCACCTCCTCTATTTTCTGACATAATATTGTTTAGAACTGAAATTATTTCTTCCTTACATGTTTGATAGAATTCATCAGTGAAGTCATCTGGGTCTAGATTTCTCCTTGGCAGGATGGCTTTAAATTTCTAAGTCAATTTTCTTAATATAGGATTCTTTGGATTTTCTGCTTATTCTTGAATCTGTTTTGCTAATTTGTGATGTGCTATGAATCTGTCCATTTTATCAGTGTTATCTAATTTGGCATAAAGTTGCTCATATTCCTTTAATATTTTCCTTTCTGTAGGATCTCTTTTTATTTTGATATTTGTGTTTTCTCTTTTTATTGGTCATTGTAGCTCAGAGATTGCCCAACTACAGTCTTCAGGTCCTATCCAGCCCACCAACGGTTTTTACAAATAAAGTTTTATTAAGATATAGCCACCCATTCATTAATTTAAAGTCTATTGCTGCTATCACTATATAACAGTAAAGATGAGTAGTTCTCATAAGCCTAAAATGGTTATTATCAAGCCATTTACAAAGTAAGTTTGCTGATTCCTAATCTACTTAAAGGCTTGTCAGTTTTATTGGTCTCTTCCAAGAAACATTAATTTCATTCATCTTCTCTACTGTTTTTCCATTTTTTATTGCTTCTGCCTGTATTTTTATTATCTCTATTTATTTTGGGTTTGATTTGCTCTTCTTTTTCTAGCTTCTTAAGTTAAAAATTTAGCTTATTGATTTTAGATTTTACTTTCTTTTTAATATAGGTATGTTCAAGATACTTCCTAATTTATTTTGTGATTTTGTTGATGATGATTATTATTATTATTATTATTCATTTTTAAGAGAAGTTTTAGGTTTAACAAAACTGAGCAAAAAGTACAGAGTTCTACATACTCCCAAATTCACTCCCTCCCCAGCTTCCTGAAGATGAGCATTCCTCACTAGTGTGATATATTTGATACAATAGATGAACAAACATTCACATATAATTATCACCCAGATGATTAGAGTTCACTCTTGGTGTTGTACATTCTAAAGGTTTTGACAAATGTATAAGACATGTACGCACCATTTATAGTTTTATACAAAATAGTTTTAGTACCCTAAAAATCCCCTACATTACACCACTTTGTCCCTCCCTCATCCCAAATCCCTGGCAACCAATGATTTTTTTATTAATTGTCTTAATGGTTTTAACTTGTTTGTAATGTCATATAATTGGAATCATATAGTATGTAGCCTTTTCACATTGGATTCTTTCACTTAGTAATATGTATTTAAGTTTCCTTCATGTGTTATCATGGCTTGACAGTGCATATCTTTTTAATACTGAACAATATTTCATTGTATGAATTTACTGCAATTTATCCATTCACCTACTGAAAGACATCTTTTTTTTTTTTTTAAATATTTTTATTTATTTCTAGGAGAGAGAGAGAGAGAGACAGCGTGGGCAGGGGAGGGTCAGAGAGAGAGGGAGACACAGACTCTGAAATAGGCTCCAGGCTCTGAGCCGGCAGTCAGCACAGAACCCGACGTGGGGCTCGAACCCACGAACTGCGAGATCATGACCTAAGCGAAAGTCGAACGCTTAACTGACTAAGCCACCCAGGCACCCCTACTGAAAGACATCTTAACTGCTCCCAAATTTTGGCAGTTATGAATAAAGCTGTTAATACACATTCATGTACATGTTTTTGTGTGGACATAAGTTTTCAACTCATTGGATAAATACAAAGAAGTGTGATTGCTGGATCATATGCTAAGAATATGTTTACTTTTATAAGAAACTGCCAAGCTATCTTCCAAAGTACCTCCATCATTCAGCATTCTTACTGTCAGTGAATGAGAGTTGTTCCACATCCTCACTAGCATTTGGTATTGTTAGGGTTTGGATTTTAGCCTTTCTAATTGGTATGTAATGGTATCTCATTGTTGCTTTAATTGCAGTTCCAGTGATATATGATGTAGTACAACTCTTTATTTGCTTATTTGTCATGTGTGTATCTTCTTTTGTGAGAGGTCTGTTCAAGTCTCTTGCTTATTTTTTAATTGTGTTGTTTTCTTATTCAGTCTTAAGTGTTCTTTGTGTACTTTATATACAGAGTCCTTTATCAGATATGTTTTTTGCAAATATTTCTTGCGGACTGTGGCTTGTCTTTTCATTTTTGATTCATGGTCTATTTATTTATTTACCTATCTTATTTATATATTTAAATGTTTATTCATTTGAGAGAGAATGAGAGAGCTAGCACATGCAAGTGGGGGAGGAACAGAGAAAGAGGAGAGAGAGAGAACCCCAAAAAGGCTTCTTTCTGTCAGTGCAGAGCCCCACATGGGGCTTGATCTCAAAAACCCATGAGATTATGACTTGAGCCAAAATCAAGAGTA